AGGTATCTCCTTCCATTACATAGCATAGACTGGCCTCATTCCCATCCTTGTTTGGTCTAATTAATCACGGCCACATGCCCTATTAAGATCCTTGGCTGAGGTATTTCCAGATGACCCAAATTCAGCTAATTTATACTGGAAGACAAGCCATCCAGTTGGGCAGGATTAGCTTTGAGGAGAGCAGTTAGAGCTATGGTTCTCTTTTCTTTATTCATGGGCCAAGAGGTGGGATTTCGAATTTCTGCTCATTCTTTTGCAATGGGAGCAGAGAATCATACCTGCACTGACCTAGTCACAGCTAATCCACAGGAATCTGGGTCAAAGAGGGCTGGATAGAACAGCAGGCACCTGTGTTGGTACTTCTTCAGCCCATGCTCTTTAAATAATTGTTGAACTGCAATATGTGAGAAATAGAAAGTCCAGTGGTCCATTTTCAGAATACAGTATTTAGCCTTAAATGCAAAATTGGGATGTAAGAAAGGCAGCTGGAGAGGAAATAGAGCAGAATGGAAAGTTACAAGTAGTTATCTCACACAGTAGCACCATAGCCTATGGATGTGGCAGATCCAAATTCTATGCTCCTGAACAACCCTTTGATAAACAGGATGGGGGGGGGGTGTCTAACCAACAGAGAAAAAAATCTCTGTTAAGAAAGCGTAACTTGGGCTGGGGATGTAGCTTAGTTGATAGGGTGCTTACCTTGTATATACTAAGGCCCTTGGTTCAATCCCCAGCACCACCCCACCCCCAAAATAGTAACTTAAGAATGCATTCACCTCCAAGACAACTTTCCTGCCACAGGAGAACCATGGGAGGTGGAAACAACTAAAATATATTTCTTCAAATAACCCAACAGGAGACAGTAAAATGTAAGCAAACTTCAGGAACATTGTGCATCCCGTGGTACTCAGCCAATGAGGAACTAGGGGACGGATCTTGCACACTAGGGGATAAAATACTGATTTTAACTGCTCTGGGCATGCCTGCTCCTCCAATCTTGCAAGATTGTCATTAAATTAAAGCCTTGCTTTCTCTGTACCTTTGTCTCTCAGTTCATTCTTTGGGTTTGGACAGGTGAGAACGTTTCTCACAAACATCATGGAAGTGGGCAGATAAAGATTTCCTATTAATATTTTACTAGAAACACATTAACTTGAATTCGTTTTCACTAACTGAAGCAAACTCTGAAAACATCAGTTGGTGCACTTTTCCTATAGTTGTTTCAAGCTCTCAATTTTTAGGGAAGCAGACCAGTTTCTCAAGAGGCACACTTAAAATCGTACAATTTAAAGATCTTTCAAGTGATTACATTAGTTACTGAATGCAGTATTTAGTTTTAGAATTTTTATTCTGCTTTCATTTTAGGGATTCTGCTTGTGGGTATTGCAGAATAACTCTCCAGAGATATAGGTCTGCTTTAGAGAGGAGATTTTTCTTCTTTCAGTATTAAGGTTTGAACCCAGAGGTGGTCTACCACTGAGCTACAACCCCAACCCTTTTGATGATTTTATTTTGAGAAAGAGTTTCTGTTGCCCAGTCTGGCTTTGAATTTGCAAGCCTCCTGCTTCAGCTTCTTTAGTTGCTGGGATTATAGGCCTGAGCCACCAAACCACCACACTCAGTCTTTGTTTTTTAAACAAAGAAGGGGACCGATTTACATTTTGTCAGTTTATCCAAGTGATAAGCTTCACTTTATAGAGCAGCATTCCACAGCCCAGCTAAACTGGTTACTTATCCAGTGTGGTTCCGGGTCACAGATTAAATACAAGATGACTGCTAAGAGGGTAGAATGCAAAGCGGAGCACAGAGGAAAAAATGTTTTTGTGGTTATTTAGAAGGGAGTTTGTGTAGTGGGGAAAAGCATGGGTTTTACAGCCAGAAAGCAATCCCAGCTACTTAACTGGCAATGCTGATCACAAAATGAAAACTGTGAGGGTCCCTTGTTAAAAAATTAAGAATTTCATGACAGTGACAGTGTGGAGGCCCCATGGAGGGACACACCCATGAAACCCTGCTGGAAGGTCTTTAGTTCAAATCTCACTCCTGCTTCTCCAAAGCTGCTTGGCCTTGGACAGGTCACCCTCTCTGAGTCTCACTTTTTTCATCTGTAAAATAGTAATAATTGAATCTTTCTTTAGAAGGTGGCATAGGAATAAAATTAAAAGCACTTGACATGTGAAAGTTGTCCATTCCTCTTATGTTCTTAGTCTACGTTGTGAACTCTTCCCTCCTGTTCTCAAGGCACTGGGCTTTGACCTTCTCATTTTCCTTTCAAAAATCTTTCAAAAGTATAGTGAGCCTTAAAAAATGGCCTGTATATGATCATTTAGGATCAATTTTATACAGTTCAACTTATATAAACTCCTTAGCATGACTTTTTAAAATTTTAGTTGTCAATGGACCTTCGTTTTTATTTACTTATATGAGGTTCTGAGAATTGAACCCAGTGCCTCACACATGCTCGGCGAGTGCTCTACCACTAAGTTACAACCCAGCTCCACATAGTGTGGCTTCAAGCAGTATTGTTCTTAGACTTGAGCAACAGGGTCCTTTCCCTTATGCCTACACGTCTTAGGGGACATGCACCTGCCCCTTACCTACCCACCTCTAGGCTTCTTCAGGAACACCTGTCCACCTAAAATGGTAGGGTAGGAGGAGGAGAGAGTGGGAGGGAGGGATGGTAATGGCATACCTACACACAAGGGGGCTTGACCTAGGTGTGAAGAGGGCTAGGTCTGAGGTTTCCATCTGTTGGCTTGCATCTCTCCTCTCTTCCTTGCTCACCTCCACCTGCAAAACTCCCCAGCTATATAAGGGGCCAGCCTGGCTTTCAAAGACCCCTATATTCTGGCCTCAACCTACTTTTCCAGTTGTATCTGTACCTCCTCTGAACTACTTATAATTTCTCCTAGTATTCTTGGCGTTTAAAAAATTTCCATGCCTTCCACATGATGCTGCCTCAAATCCTTGTCCCTTTTCCCTTCCTGATGACATTCTACTAGTTGAAGAACTACCCTTCATGTTAGTCATCTCTGGCAGCCTTCTCTTCTCAATCCTTATCCCCAGGTGGCACTAGATACCCAGTGTGTTTCCGCTGGTGGCCTCATAGCACCACACATAAAGCCACATCACATTGTCTACAATGGTTTGTGGGGTTTTGCCCCTAGACTTAGTCTTGGGGGCTCTTCCAAGGCAAGCAATGCTTCTTTCGGCTTATACTCAGTCCTACTCAGAGTGCCAATAACCAATATCTTTCCATGTGAAAGATAACCTCACACTGAATAATTTCAGTTGGAAATCCCAGATCCTTCAGTGAAAAAGTCATCTTAAGCAAATTACTGAAAGCCAGTTCCTCCTCTTTGAGACAGGAATGAACCTATCTTCTTGAATACCCCTAAAGATTAAACAAAACAATTTATCTGAATTGCTTCAGCAAATGATAGTGTGGGCTCAATAAATGATAAGCACATCTAAATTAGTTTCCACACTGTGATTTGTTGTAAACTATAAGAGGAATGTTCTTTGAAGCAAAAAGGGATTTCTATTTTGATGAGAAAATTTTATATTTAATAGCATAGTCTTAGTATGATACCATAGGTTTAAAAAAATGCATGCACTTTTTTTTTTGTTTAAAAGTCACTGGGTTTGGACAGGTGAGAACGTTTCTCACAAACATAATGGAAGTGGGGAGATAAAGATTTCCCCACTTAATATTTTTTGAGTAAATCTAATTTATTATGCAAGACTGGTATTCTTAGCATCAACTGGGCAAGAAAAATACTATATTATAATCTATTTTGAGAAGTAGTCGTAATAAAGTTTATAGATCAATAACTAAATTTAGGAAAATAAGGAAATAAAAAGTATATTTAAACAATTACCCTTAAGAATTTTCAGAACTTTACATAAATATAAATGATAACTACGGTGTTTTTGTAACACTTCTTACAAAATTGAGGTATTCCTACAAAAATGCCTAAGAATACATGTATGCATTCATCTTAGGTTATTTTTTTTAATATTTATTTTTTAGTTGTAGATGGGCACAATATCTTTATTTTATTTATTTACTTTTATGTGGTGCTGAGGATCAAACCCAGGGCCTTGCATGTGCTAGGCAAGTGCTCTACCACTGAGCCACAACCCCAGCCCCTTAGGTTATTTTTTAAAAGAGGAAAAAGTTAATTACAGGAAAATATACTAATAGAAACAGAAAGCAATACCTATGAGTTACTATATAAGTCATTAATGGTCTGCTATGACTTGTTACCCCCAATTGAGGCCTTTTATCTATTAACATATTACACAATATTAAATGAAACTATTGATATTTGCATTATTGCACATCCAAATCCTGTTTTTATTCTTTTTATTAAGAAAATGGGATGATATCCAAGCTTTAAGAAAAATAAAATTGATTTAACTCATTTGAATCTTATTGCTCATATAGAATGGCTATAATAAAGGTGGCCTATTTTGGTAAATAAATTACTTTTCTAAATTTTTGTTTGCTGAGCTAATGCAAAATAAATAGCTTTTTTATCTGCAATGTACTCATGCTATTATGCTAATATGTTTGCTTGCAATCTTAACTATGTGAGACAATAAGCCTACCCATCTACAGTTACTAACTATGCACATCTTATTGTACATTTTAGATACACTTGAATCATAGGAGCTGCTAATTTAGAATCTCAGGATATATAAATATATCTGAGATTAAGAATGAATAAGTTATGCAATGGGGGAATTACTGATGGCAAATTTAGGAAGACTTCAAGGGCACAGAAGGAACTCTGTAAGTCTTGTGTATTCTAGATGGTAGAACTGAAAATTAGTGTTAGCTTTACAGTAGTAACAACAGCAATGTTATAGTCAAGAGGGTTTTCTTTAAATTGCCGTTTGTGCTTGAAAGTATAATAAATGGAGTATCATCTTTGCTCTTGCCATAATATTAAGGCACAAATATTTAAATTATTAATAGAAGACAAGAAGCTTCCTTATGGAAAGAGATGGCGGAGTTTGGCATTGAGTTCTCTCTCCTTGCTTAAAAGATCCAGGCTGTGCTTTTTGAAGGCTTCTGACTGCAGCTTGAGTTCATCATAGGCCTTTTGGATCCCATCCATTCTGCGCTGAAGTTCCCGGACTCTCAAGTTGCTGTCTACAGCCACTGCCTCTTGCTCAAAGCGCTCTAGTGCATGCCTCCTAGCCATATCTGCTGCCTCCAACTTCTCCTCAAGCTGCCGGATCTCTGCCTGTTTGTTCTGAAGCACCTTGCCCCTCTCCATGGACAGCTGCAGAAGCTCCTCTTTCTCTTGAGTGATGGTCTGCAGCCTGTCCTGCAGCTCCTGACTCAGGCTGCTGTGTGTCTCCTGGGCCTTTGCCATCTGTTCAATGGCCTGTTGGTACTGCTGCTGGAGGCTCTGCAGCTGGCTGCGCAGCTGCTCTGTCTCCTTGTTGTGGGCGAAGTCCTGCTGGCTCTGTAGCTCCAACAGCTCCTTTTCTCGGGCCTGTGCCTGGCAGGCATCCTGAGCACACCTCTCTTTCAGAGCCTCCAGCTCCTTGGTGAGTGCCTCGCTCTTAGTGGTCAGCTGCAATACTTTGGCCTCCTTGTCCTTCAGAGCCTGGCTGAAGAGATTGCTGTTCTCCAATTTCAGCTTCTCATTGTCTTCCTTCAGCTTGATGTTCTGACTCTTGTATTCATCCTTAAAGCGGATCATCAACTCGTGGTTGGCTGCCAAGGTCCTGAAACGGTCCTCCAGTTTCAGGGCATGCTCACTTTGGGCTTTCAACTTTTGTGCCTCCTGCATCCTCTTCTCCTCCAGCTCTGAATTGAGCAGTTCCAGGATCTGGCAGCGTTCCAGGGCCTCATCGGCCCTCCGCTTCAGAATGCAGATGAGCTGGGACTGCTCTTGGATACGGGAGCAAAGCATTGCCTTCTCACCCTTCTCCTCCTCGGACAGCCCCCTCAGGTTTGCCAAGGCTTCCCTCAGCCCTTCCAGTTCCTTAAACTCCATCCCCTCTTCCTCCTTTTTCTGTTTTTCATTTTGCTTATCTAAGGGTTCTTCACCTGGTCGAGTGTCCATCCCAGGTGACTGCTCTTCCTGAGGCATAGAAGCTTTCCTCCACTAACAGCTGACCACACAGTCTCTCCCACTCTGATTTCAAAAGCCGAAGGGTGTTGCTAGGGACTCTTGGCACTCCAGCTGACTTTTCCAGTAAAGAGTCCTGTAATTGGTGGGCAGGTCTTCAGAATGCTGTGAAGTAACAATAGGAAAAGGGGGGAGGGGATCCTAAGCAAATCTGTCAGGTTACCCTTGCTTTCTAACCAACCAATCCTTCAGTTCACAGTCAGTATCTGGCTTGTACAGCCAGAGAGATGCTAACGTCACTCAATTCCTAGCCCACACCAGGGAAGAAATCTGACTCCCCCTGATTTCCAGTAGGAGTAAACAAATCAAGTTTATACCATCTTATCCCTTCTCATTCTACCCCATTCATTTGTCAGGAGAATAAATTACTTTCTGTAATTTTTGTCTTCTCAAAAACGTACAATTTATGAACATAAAGTAGCAGTAGTACTCCTTGAGAGCCAGGTCCCTAAGTGGCTGGGAGTTTGCTCCCTCATGTTTGGCCCCACTCAGTTTGATATTTAAATATTGAACAAGCAAATCCCAGTGATATTTCCATCATTTCACCTACCTAATATGAAAATAGATTTTTTTTATTCACCACTCCCTGAATTAGCAAAGTAAGGTCACAGAAAAGTTTAATGAAAATAGATGTGATACATATTAAAACAGAAAAAAAAGAGATACAAATGAGGCTTACTTTCTTATTCATCATAGTCAGTTTCAGATGGATTAAATAGTCCAACGTAAGGTAAAGTAAAATCAAAGTATTTTCTTCTAGTAAAAGAAAAGGTAAACATCAAATCTTGGGCCAAGAAGCACTTTCTTAGACATTATGTAAGAGAACAGAAGAAAGGAGCTTGATTAGACTTCATTGAAAATCTGTAGTTATTTGTAATTTTTAAAATTATGTGACCTCTGAGGTTTTTCCAGTCCCTTCATCCTCTGAACTTGCCTGACATTTTACTTTCTAGCAAATCCAAATACAGAAGTTTCCCATACCAACTAGGTTTCTGGCCTGGTGGAAAGGTGTTGCTTTGTCTGGAATGCCTTGTCCCACTTTGGAGCTTGTCACTCTGCTAATTTGCTAAGCTTATTATACTTAATTAAGAATCATTTTTCTGGGAAGGGATTTGTGGCCCTTACATGTGGAATTGTCCACATACCTCTTTTAGCATATCCACTATAGCTTTATTTGTACTCTTAGTGCAGCCTGTGAAAGCTTTATTACAATCATTGCTTTACCTGCCTGCCTCCCCCATGAGACTATGAGATGATCTAATTAGACTATGAGATCAAGCATGGCAGGTGTTTCTTCCTTGATGAGAGACTCAGATAAATGTGTGCTGAAGGAATTCCAATGAGAGAGAGAGAAAGAGAGAGAGAGAGAGAGAGAGAGAGAGAGAGAGAGAGAGAGAGATATCTCTAATAAATGTAAGACAAAATTAACATTTTTATAAAGGCTTATAAATGCCAATAAAACATCATGTTAAAAAGAGAAATGGACAATTAAATTCACAAAAAGGGAATAAAAATGACCAAGAATTGAGTCTCAACTACGATCCAACAAGTGCAAGTTAAAATTAGATACCATATAATCTATCAAATTAGTCAAAAAAAATTTCCCCTTATGACTACCAAGGACAGGTATATGCTGTTGGTGAAAATCAATTGACTGTATATATTGACTGTATATATTGAGAACTTAAAACATTTTTATGTCTTTTGAATTAAAAATGGCCCTTTAGGTAGGTCTTTGCTAGGAAAATAATCTGAAAGAAAACATTTTGCTCAAAGCTTTTCATTACAATATGGTTTACATTAACTAAAAGCTGGAAACCTAAATGTCCAAAAGAGGGGAATGTTAAGAAAATTATGATATGTTCATACAACAGAATATTGTATAGCCATTAAACATCATTTATAGGTAAATCTTATTGACGCAGCAAATATTTATGTTAGATAACTTTAATAAGAAACAAAACTTATTTAGAATAATCGTAATGCTAAGATAGACAAAGCAGTTGACTATCCCTGTAATCACTATTTCTGGGGGTCCAACTTTATATCTCCTAAGTCATGATGATAAAGAAAAACCTGTGTCATTACAGATGTCAGATGGATTTTTAAAATGCTTCACATCTTACTGGGAGCAAAACAGAAAAAAAAGAAGAGTTCCAGATTTTTCCTTCAGTCTTAAAGTTTAAGTCTCATTTCCCAAATCATGAATTTCTTGTCTGTACAAGGAAGGCAAGGAGATTTTCTAAGCTGAAATTTTAACAAGTATTTAAATTATAGGATATTAAAGTTTTGTGAAAGTAGATTCCAAAGATTTAAAAATGCGAATTATACTTACCAGAATTTTTCATTTTTCCTTAAATGTCAAACATAGGATATTTAAGGAAAAGGAAAGTAACTAGAAAATTACAATGCTCTTCTTCTAATTTTAAATATATTGAAAATTGTATTTGTTGATCACTTTATATATATATAGTTTATATATATAGTTATATATATGTGTGTGTGTGTATATATATATATATATATATATATATATATATATATATAGTTGTATGGTGAAATAAAAATAATTATTTCCTATGAAAAGGAAAAGAAGACAGAAAAATACTCAAAATATGAATAGTAGTTGTTTCTTCAGAATGAGATATGGTTGCTTTCCCCCTCCTTTTTAACTTTCTAAGTTCCTTACATACAGTGAACACTCAGCAAATATTTGTCTGTGACATCATTTTTTCACATTTAAAAAATGTTTATATTTCTTTATATAAAAATTAGTTTAAGTAGCATCATATCCATAGATTACTTATCAAGGCTGAGAATATCACAAGATTCATTAATTTAATTCAATAAGTATTTGCAATATAAAGTGCTAGATACTAAGAATACTTAACAAAATAAATACCTTCATTCTCCTTAAAGAAATTTAATGATCACCTTTGGCTCCTCTGTGTCATGGTTATTTTATTTGTTCAATTATTTTTTTCCAGCTACCTTTAATTCTGAAAGTTTCCAGAATATTCCCTTCTCAAAAGTCCAGCATAAAAGCAGACCAATGCTTTCCCTAATGGAAACTAATGAGTCTCCTCTACCTGCCTTTGTTGAGTATTTCAATGTCTCTTTTTTATTTGAATGTTTTTATTTATTAAAATGTTGATAACTGTCTATCTATGGAGAAAGTTTCTATCTATGTAGAGAGTTTGTCTTTCTTTTTAAAATTAATATGATACTATAAACTTTGTCCCAAAGGAATTTTTTTTTCCTTTTAGAGCTACAAATTAAATAGAATAAATACATGGTATTGGGCATTTGAACATCTTCTTTTAATCCCAACAATATTCTGGACAACCAGGCATTTATGTCTATATTTTATAACTTATAGGGAAAAAAAAACAAGTCTCAGAGAGGTGAAGCAAATTGCCACCAGATCACCCAAAGAATAAATAATAAAGACAGATTCAAATCCAGATCTTTTTATAACAAAGCCCATAATCTTAAGTCACACTTCGTTTGTTCATTTGCTCATTCATTCATCTCACATGTACTGAGAAATGATTATATCTATTATGCAATTCCAGCTCTCAAGATGAGTACAGCTTAGTGTCGGAGACACACAAATACTATCAGCAATTCAGTGTGGTAACTGCTAATGTAATCTTGGAGAAATCAGACATATCACTCCGCTTATGAATACAATGGTAAGAACCAAGTATATTGTAGACAGAAGGAAGGGTGTAAACCAGTCTTTGATGAAGAGGGGAGTATTAGTTAAGACTATTTTGACAGAAACTCAACTCAGTTTGGCCAAGGTAATGGGGACTTATCGCCTCACAGAGCATTGAGGGAACTCAAGGAATCAAAGTAAGAGTGGCAGGAACTAGATAGGATCTCAAAAAACAAACAAAATATTACAGATGTAAAGCTACCAGCACTATCTTCTCTGTCAGTTTCTCATATATATTGCAGGCAGGGTGGATGTATGATTTTTCTCTAACTAAGGGCATAAGAAAAGAGTGTTTCAGTTGAACTTATGTAGGGCTGTAATCTGTGATAGTGCTGGGAGGTAGGTATTCAGTGGAAAGAAATGGGAGTAAGTTAAGGCTATTGGTAAGAAAGTGGCTGACTGGAGAGAGGAATGATAATGGGAAGCAACTGATAGAGATTTTAGGGACTGAAGTCATGGATGCATTTTTTGGGTGGGGAGGGGAGGTACCAGGGATTGAACTCAGGGACACTTCACCACTGAGCCACATCCCCAGCCCTATTTTGTATTTTATTTAGAGACACAGTCTCACTGAGTTGCTTAGCCTCTCACTTTGCTGAGGCTTGTTTTGAACTTGAGATCTCCTCAGTCTCCATCTCCCAAACCATTGGGATTATAGGCATGTGCCACTGTGCCCAGCTTTATGGATGCATTTTAAGAATAGATGTTAAAGAATCATGAACTGAAAGTATAGAAGATTTTAGTCAGAGTGGGATGTTTGGATTTAATGTTTCAGAGGCAGAATAGTTTCCAGGTCATAGGGAACTATACCTATGAAATTCATAGATACATGTGGCTGAAAGGGAATGGAGGCTAAGGACATTTAAATCAAGGTCAAGGTACTAAGAATCCAGCAAATATTTGTCTGTGACATCATTTTTTCACATATTCCCTATACTGTGGAGCCAACTAAATGAGGTTAGTTGGAAGGATGGTAGATGATCATAAGAGGGAGTGAAGGGGATAATGATAATAGCAAGTATTCTTCTGAGAACTATTTGTTGAGCATGAACACTTTGATTCATGTATTTTTTGCCTACAGAATAAATACAAGTTCCTTTTTTATCCCCCCTTCAACAGACAAGATGAAGAAGTTAGGTAATTTGCCCAAGGTCACACTGCCACTAAGTGGTTTAACCGGGAAATTCAAATCCAAATCCTCTCTTCTGGAAGCTACTTAACCATTACTCTCCATTCCCTGATGTAACCGGATGGCATATTTTTAGAAAAAGAGGTAAATAAAGAAGATAAAGAAGCAAAGGTCTGAAATCAGATCCTACATGCTAGCTGAGGTACTGGATATGGGAGAGTCTCCTCTTCATGAAGCTAAAGGAAAACTAGTTTTCTGGAACAAATTAGCCAAAGAATCAGAAGGAATGTTGTGTAATTCGATTAAGTGTGTGGGGACACAGTTTGTTTCATGAAATAAAGGAAAGAAATTAGTGCATAAGCCTGGGAGTGAGTGGAGACAGGAGAAGAGATAGGAGAGCAATCCCAAAGCAGAATGGGAATGAGAATGCTAGTGAAAGCAGATGTTCAGGAACTTCTTACTTGATGGTAAGTATGAATGACAGGGATATGTAAAAAGAAGACCAAGCACATTATCTGGGAACCATAGGTTGGGAGAATGGAAGAGTGGTAGGTTAATAGTAATCATGCTTTTGGTGGACTCTTAGGTCATGTGAGCAGGCCATGGGGTCCTCAGGATTACTACTACTTCCTTAGAAGTTGTAGCAGACATGGTGGATGGGGGAATTTAGGCCTCTCTGGAAGGAGTCACCAGAGAAGATTCTTAGATGTACTACTTCTTTTAAAATTTTTGAAATATTTTTGAGACAAAAGTGGCATGAATGCCTTACTCTTCATTTCTCTACCATCCATGTTTAAACAACACTCTATTCTTCTAACTAGGGACCATTTCCCCAAGGCCACAGGGTAGGCACATTACTGAAGATGGGTTAATTATGAAACCTTACTGCCTCTACTCCTGACCACAGTGAATGGTTCCATGGTGGGAATGTGATACAAACCTGGCCAGTTTCTCTCAGAGATTTCTCAAATAAAACCTAAGAAGGACAAGTAATCTAACTGGGAGGTTGTGATGCTGGGGCCACCTGAGGTGCTATTTCCCACTCCTTGAGAGAGAAAAGATAGCATCTGAGTTCCTACTTTCAGTCTGTAAGTCCCCAAATTAACCTAGGTTTCTGAAGCAGTTGCTTAATTCTATGAGCTAACCCAGGGTCTGTCCAAGAAATCCCCCTGTTGGGCTTTTTTCCAGTTAGGTTTCCCGGGGCGGGGGTGGGGGGATTTAAAAGGCCCTAAAACATGCAGTTCAGGGAAATGCCTTCAGTTTCAGGAAGCATGCTTTGAAGGATCAGCAAGTCTTTGCCTAAGAGTCACACTGGCTCAAAAGAAACCTTCCACCTGATTTTACAGAAGATTTCAGGCTGCTTACATTTTAAAATACACGAAGCTCACACTTAGCCTTCTTCTGTGGTAAGATAAGATCAAATTTATAATTTGTATTTTCCTTTCCAGAAGAAAATGTGTGAAATCCCCTGTGGATAGATGCAAGACACGTGGGTGGTTCTATTGCCCACCCTGGTGTTTGGGAGGCGAGGGATCTGAGCATGGGAAGATGCAGGCAATCCTGATCCTAGGTCAGTGCATACCAGAACCTATCGCATTAGTGCCCCAGAGTTGGCTGGATGCTAGGAGGTAGTTGAACACGTAACAGAATGAAGAGCTTGTCCACTCTGTGACATGGACAAGCCAGGATGGGATTTACACTGCTGGTTACTGCATTCCAGGCTGAGTTCTACTTAACTCATCTTTCCCTTCTTTAAGGTCAAAGAGAATAGAGTTAAATACTCCCAGAAAAGACCTAGAGAGACAGTGGAAGGGGTGTTGTCCTAGGTAAGTCTCTTACTGACAAGTGAACACAAGGCCATCTAGTATCTATTTGGGCAAGGAGGCGAGCAGTTAGTGGTTTTGATAACATTTACTAGATGCCTGTTGTAAGACCCCATACTCATTTATTACCTAGGCCTCATCAAACCTACATTAAATCGGCACTTGTTTTGAGAAAAGCAAATTAGTTGAGTCCTAAGGAGGAGTAATATTTCATGTACTAAAATCATCCCAAGAGTTCTCTGGAGAAAAAATTTTAAGAATAAATATTAACCTATATTATCTGTCTGCTTGGGGGAAATAATGCCAAAAGTTACAGTGAAGGCTCTGAAATAATATTAGCCCAAGTTCATAAGACTTTTTAGGCAATTTAGATTTTATGATTCCTACTTATAAAGGGTTTCATTTAAAGTACAAAGCCAGGCTAATTTGCCAACACAATTTAAATCATATGATAATTTATTCTAAGGGTTTTTACAAAATATTTTATGAAAATTATACATATATAGGAAATACAATAAAATTTAACAATTTATATTCTAATTAAAACTTTGTTGCAAAGCACATCTGTGGCTACCATTATACTGCTTTAATATAATAAAGTTATGGGAAAAACAATCATATATAGGAAAAGTTTTTAAAAACATATTCTATTAAAAATACAGACTTGAGACCTACTTTCAAATTAAGCCAAAATAAACCAAGAGCTGAATTCCACTTATGGCCAGTGGGTGGCACCAAAGTACACTTGAGACTGGGGGAAAGAAAAAGCAGTTTCTCAAGGTAGAAATGTGCTCAGTCATGTTCCTCTTATTGCCCTAACATGGAATTCCAGATTATTAGAGATTACAGGGTAAATAGTTATCTTATTGTATAATTCTTTGTCATCACCGATGGTGCTCCTCTCCAAGGCTACCCCAGGAGTATTTTTGTTACTTTTTTCTACAATCTACCTATTTACAAGTACCAGTACTTGCAGGGGTTTGGGATAATCAAGTGGCTGGTTTAACCATAACACAAATGTGGTGTGAAACCAGAACACTCTGTTGGTTAAAAATACTCCTAATGAAATAATTTTTGGCAGAAAAATCTTTGAAGCAGCAGCAACAGTTCAATTTTTCTAATTTGCTCAGGTATCTCCTTTAATGTTGGAGTTACAAGTAAGTCACATATCTTGTCAGTATTTAAGTCCCTTGGGCCCTTGTAATCCAAGAAACACATGCAGATGACTTCAACATGCTGTGTAGTCTTTATTGGTGGCAACAGAAGGAAGCAAGAATCTTTGTCCATGTAGTCAGATTTTCAAGATCCAATTTGACCTCTGTAGTAGTTATCAGCGGAGGAGCAGTAGGCTCTGGGCTTATTTGGAAATCTTGGCAATCAAAAGCATTCTGAGGGGCAGTGTTGCTTCAATCCAAGTGTTGGGGGAATTCACCATCTTCTCCCAGAGAGCAACCTCCTCTGAAGTAGAATCCATCCAATCCACTTCAGTCCCATAGCTTTTACCTGATTTAACAATTAAAAAAAAGAAGGTATGTGTTGGGGGGACTTTGCATTTAGAATGGAATAGCCCATTGGGGAAATGGTATTGGGGGGGAGCAGTGTTGTTATTCCCTAACTATAAGCACCAATAGAAGACATCTATAAAGAGTTTTAATATAACCAGAAAGCAGATCTGGGACATCACATAAAAAAGAACTATTTGACCATCTGAGAAGATCCCATTTTTGAGATCATTCTCAGACCAAGTACTTCTCTTCATATGAATATAAAACAGATAACAATTTTTCAGCAGCATAGAGGGGTTTGGAGTATTCTGCAAGTGTGGTTAGGCTTTGGCACCTAGCAGACTCAATTTTGAATTTTGGCTCTGTCCCTTATTAGCTCTGTTACTTAATTTCTTGGAATATCGGTTCTTTTGAGAAGTATATTATTAATAACCTCATAGAACTATTATGAGGATTAAATGAATTAATAATGCAAATAAAGCATTGAATACAGTGACTAGTGCTCTATAACTGTTAGTTGCTATTATTAAAAACACACCTTTAGTCTCAAAGGACCATAAATTTTTTTTCAAGGTAGAAGAATGATATAGACATTTCTGTTCCCCATACCCCTCCCACCAACAATAAATTAAGCTCTGTATCAACAGACAGGACACCCTGTTATTTCTCATACTGAAAACCATTGGCATACAGCCTGACATCCCTTCACTCATTCATTTCATTAAACTTTATGGAGACAGGATATTTATTTTCACTAGGAAGAAGCAAAGCAACAAACAACCCTCTAGTGTCTCCAGGGGAATTTGGTTCACGGAGAATTTAAAATGTAAGAAACATTACCTGTTCCAAAGCCAATCCGAAGACCTCCCAAAAACTGGTTGGTTAATTTGTAATGGTCCCAGACAGTGAGCTCTACACAGGCTTCCATCAGATCTTCAGGCCTGAACCCATCGTATACCATGGTATGGTTGAAGATGGGATTGGTGGTTTTCCCTACAGCTCTTGTCTTCTGGCGACTTTTTCTACTTGTGTCTGGAAGGATGGTACTACAAAAAAAGAGGCATTGTTGTGAGAGCATTTTAATAAGAGTGAACACTTATTCTTTCAATATACTTCAGCACAGCTACTAAAGGTCAGCAATGGAGGAAAAGGTATGGAGAGAGTGTTGGTGGTTTGGGGGAGGGTAGGAGAAGACACATTATGCTGCAAAGACCTGGACAAAGTTGCCCAGACCTGGTTTGAATCTTGACTCTGCCACCTATTTGCTGTTCATTCTAGGGGAAGTTGCTTTACCTCTCAGACACTTGTTTCTGGTTTACAAAGTGGGAATGGTATTGCTGACTTCATAAGGTTGATCTTAGAATTAAATAAAACATGCAAAATGCTTAGTTCAGTGTCTGTGGTAAGTAAGTGCTTTATACAGTAGCAAATGCTTGAGGATTTCTTAAAGTTTAGAAGCATGGTCTATCTCAATGCTTTATGGTGGCATAAAGACTCTTATACACATTTGAAAAAAAGAAATCAACTTGCTAGGTTGACCTTGGGAATAAAAAATGTTTTTTTTTTCAATTACTTATGTCTTACTTATGGTAATAATTGAAGGAATTTAATGCATAATGCTTCTTATTAAGGCAAGAAGATCTGAGAGTGGTCTCACAATGGGAGATTGACCTAAGTTGAGAACTCTTACCAGTGAATAACTGTGAATAATTATGAAGAGTATACACAGGGAAATGATAAAGTCATAAATACCTAAAACTATGTCACATATATTTAAATAGCTACAATTTGTCTTCTAATAGACTCTATATAGATAAAATTAGAGAGAGTTAGATCATCATAATACCTATTCAGTTATTGCTTACTAGGTTCCAGTCACTTTTTTACACATAACAGAGAAAAAAGTTTACCCTTTAAAAGCCCAAACAGTTTTAAGCTCTATGAGCTAACTCTTAGTAGGGTGTTGCTTAGCAAATCATTTTCCAAATATCTGCAGTCTGATACAAGAGTCCTTTGCAAATGGATCAAAAACATGTGGGACAAAGGAAAGGAGGAATGCTTCCTGCTTTACAAAGAAGTCAAGGAGAATGACATCCTACCATTAGAAATTTGATAAATTATTTTGTATTAATCATTGCCCTCACCAACAGATGTACCTCTAGAAGATGTTGCTTAGCTGAGCTTGAGGTCTCTAGTTTCATTTGTACATATGACCTCTTAGTTTTATGATTTTAAAACTAAATGAAGATTTGGAAGTTCATGTTACAGATTCCTCTAGTTTAAATCACCATTATATCAGGTAAATTCATTTAAACTATAATTGATGAATTTCAACATCACAGATACAGAAATCTGAAACCAGCCAGCAAAGGCTAGTCTATAGAAGAACTGAAGAAGACTGAGTCATTAATGCTGTTACCATTTAACAAAAGAATTTAGATGACTTCCCCTTAGTGGTGGCAGATCAAGGCATTCCTTCACCCAGATGTGCACTTCGCCAGTTGTAGGAAGCTTTTTACCTGTAGATAACAAATAGAAAAAAGTTTTACTGCCATTTCTCTTTTGGCAATATTGCATCCAAAGGTATCAGCCCGAAAATGGACTAGCACAGGAATGCTAGCTACTAGCTAGTGCTTGATGGTATCAAATTGACAAAACCTATATACGCCTAACTCTATCTTTCATAGTCCAGCTGCACTAAACTCAGAGAACTCCATAAAAATAATTTATAAGAATAAAAAAATCATATTTATTCTAAGTACACAGTATTTCATCCTTTTTGGAGAGTTTTGCTTGGTTTGACAAGATCAGATATTAGGAATATGAGTTATCCATTTATAGCTTATTAAAAATATCTCAATGAAATACATAATCCTTTCAAACATTAACACCATTATCAATTGGTGCTGATAGAAGGAATTTTAAACATATCTGAGTATGAAGTAACCAAACAGGTCCTAGCTAAGTTATAGCCATTTTTCTTGTTGAAAGTGTTTGTTTGTATTTTATAGGGATATTGCACATGCATACATACTAGCTAATATTATGGATAATTGCCAATAAGCTGGTTTAGTCTAAAGTTGCTGTCTAGATGGAGTACACATGGACGGAGGAACAATATCAGGTTTTTCTGGATGGTATAGCTCAATCAGTAAACCAAACAGTACTTAATGATCATCTATAATATGTTCATCCCTGTGATTGGAATGTCATTAGATATATAAGAAATAATTTATACCCTTGGAGTATAGACTAAATGTTAAGCAGGAGAGACTAGTTCAAATAAAACTATAAAATGCAATGTAAAGTGAAATGCCAAGTTATTACTGCAATATTCTAGAAAATAATGTGGTCAATGAAGGCTAATATCGTCTGCGAAAGCATTATGGAGGAGATGGGACTTCATCTAAGGCTTGGATAGGTTGAGGAGAATAGGAAGTCATCCCAGGGAAGAAAACCTACATAAGGGAGACTCAGACAAAGTAGAGCCCACCACAACATACCATTCTCCTGATCCACATCACAAAGAGACAGAGGGGAAAATGGGCAATGAAGTTAGCATTTCTATGCATGTTGACCATAAATGACAGGATACAAATTATATGCAAAAAAAAAAATCTGCCTTTTAGGAAGATCCAGAAGTTACAAGATGATGTCTGGCAGGATTCTGGCCTAAAGATGTGTCCTGCTTGCCCTCTGATTTTTTTTTAACTTAATTAGAATACCTTTTCTAGTTCAGCCACTGCCCTCACCTCTATTATTTCTTTCATATCACTAACTTTACTACCTTGTTACTGAAAACATTTGAATCTGTAACCACTAGTTTCAATCATAACATTCCTACAGACTCTTAAGGATAACCCCCTGGGGAACTTTCTTGGGAAACAGGGTGGGGATAGGACCTGGCATTTAGTTCCTTCCAGTTTTTTAGCTCCTAAACTGAACTGAAGACCTGAGGCCCTAATGTCAAGGATGTGATTAGTAATCTTGAGAAAAAAAAGTTAATAAGACTGAAAATGGAAGACCAGTGAGCTCTGATTTCTTAAGGACTTTCTATGAATTCTTCCAATTCCTACCTGTGAAAAAGCATACTCAAGTTCCATTCTTATCACAGCATTATCATGAGGCCCAAATTATGAATAAAGGAATGGTCATTACAAGCTTTTTGAAGAGTGAAGGGAAACTTAAAATAGGAATTGAACAATGGACTGAAAAAATTAGAATTTCTCATAGAAATAGAAAACAGCACTGAAATAGGGGAAAAGGGGGGTTTCAGAGTAGCAAAATGAAAAAGTTCTGGAGATCTGTTTCACAAAGTGGTAAATATACTTAACATCACTGAGTGATGTGCTTAAAAATGGTTAAGATATTATATGATTTTTTGCCACAACAATAAAAAATGAATTATCTAGTTTACAACAGAGAATTGATTCATTTGGTTTATACATTTATTAACTTAGTAATTTTTTTAGAGCTTCATCTTTGAAAATATAACAGAATAAATCCTTGGAGAGATAAGGGATAAGCAAAGAGCATGGCTCCGAATAGAAAATCAGTACAAACCAGGGGTTGGCTCTGGAACATACTGGAGAGCTAGCTTCATTTCACCTCTGTTTTCTGCTTCAAGGGCAACTGGTGCTGTCTGAAAAATAAAGGAATATCAGTAAGTGTGAGTCACAGATATTTTATCCTGTTTGTGGGTACTTTGTTACAGGGCCATACCTGTTCTATTTCTATGACTATGTATAACTCACGCTACTTTAAAATTTTCCTCTGCATCACAATTAAATTATTATTTTTGTAACTTGGAAAACAAAGTTGTGAATCTTAGAAAACCCTGCAGAGCACCCAGTAAACATTTCATGGCCTTTAGTCTCAAAGATGGTGGAGAAATCAGATTGGTTTGTTTGGAGATGGGAGAGGTGTCCTGAGATGCTTTCAATTTTATCAAAACACATAAATTTTGTTAGTCATTCAGCCAGCACATAAAACAATTTGCATTCTCTTTCTTTAAAGAAATATGGGAGATAGCATGGGAAGGTGGGGTGAACAAGTCAACTCATTTTCAAAGCTGTATTAACCTGATTATTATAGGCCAAATGCATAGGAGTTTAAGAATTACAAAGACTGGACAAAATTTTAATATGCCATATCTGTTATTTTCAAGCATGGAGGGGGGAGTTTTACTCTCAAATATGGTTATTTAGTTCCAAAACATGTATATGCATCAGAAATGCTACTGACACCTTCTGAGGAATTCAGATTCAGCAGACCTTGGGTAGGACTAGAAATAGGTGCCTCAAATGATTTTGATGCAATATTTGGGAACTATATTTTTAGTGGAACTGTTTTATTATGATACTAAATAATGGTTGACATTATATATGTTTATCATTTCTAGCTCTGATGGCCTGGCTTAGACTACACCATCACTCATACTAAGATTTAAAAAATAAAAAATAAATTTGAAGGAGTTAAAAAGAATTATTGAGACAGAAAAGAACTCAAATGAACAAGATCTTAGAGCCCAACACTGTTCTCGACTTTTCACTTTGAAGAATTAGCTGATTTTTACATAGTGCCAAACTAAGAGCATAAAAAATCTGGCAGAAAGACACTGCTGAGCTGAGCAGCGCTTTTGGCAATCTCATGGGGCTGGGGGCACAAAAATTGGGATAGATTATCTCCTAAGAAGGAATGACACTGGAAAATATCCTAGACTAGTGGCTTTCAATTTATAGTCTCTAGGTCAGCAGCAGCAGCATTGCCTGGGAACTTTTGGGAAATACATATCCTTGAATTGTCAGCTCACTCTCAAACTGGATTGAGGTGGTCTGTCTGTATTTTATCCCTCAGGAGTAAAGTATACCCTTTCAAATTATTCTTAAACTTTTTCATGCAATAAAAAGTGAATAGGAACACCAAGACAAAGGCCCAAATGGTCAAATCAGGATTTAAAAAGAAATAGGAGACACTCACAAATGATTAAAATACTGAATATATGCTTGTAATAACTTTACTATAGTTATACTATTTATGAGTGAAAATAAATCAAAACAATAAAATGAAAATCTAAATCTGAAAAATATAATTTTTCTGTTGTTGATGGGTTTAAATGGTAGAGTAGAAGCAGGAGATAAAATTATTGAACTTAAAGATAGGTTGCCAAAAAATAGCCTGAAGCATAGAGAAACAAGAATATAAAACACAGAAAAGAATATGAGACATGAGATAGAGTAAAAAGTTATGTACACACATGTAATTGGAAGTTCCAGAAGGAGAGAGTGAGAAAAAGTAGGGCAAAATTAGTATTTGAAGAAATAATTGCTGAGAAATATTCAAAATTGATGAAAGACACCAAGACACAGATTTAAGAAACTTGGTGAACCAAAAAAAGGGTAAATACAAAGAAAACTACTCAGTTTATTATAGTAAAATTGCTAAAAATTAAAGAAAAAAGAATTCTAAAATATGACAAGAAACAAATACATAAACTTCAAAGAAACAAAAATAAGACTAATAACTGACTTTGCAATATAAATGAAAGTCAGAATACAATGGAATGACAGCTTCAAAGTGCTGAAAGAAATAACTGACAACCTAGCAGCTGAGCAAAAATATCCTTCAAAGTCTAATGTGAAAAAGATAGTATAATACAAAGAAAACTTGGAAGAATCCATTGCCAGTAAAGAAGCACTTAAAGTAAACTAAAGGGAAATCTTTTTTAAAAATATTTATTTTTTAGTTTTAGGTAAACACAATATCTTTATTTTTATGTGGTGTTGAGGATCGAACCCAATGCCTCGCGCATGCCAGGCAGGCACGCTACCACTTGAGTCACATCTCCAGCCCTAAAGGGAAGTCTTGAACACAAAAAATAACTACACACAGATGCAGAAAAAGATATAGAGAAGAAAGGAAACATGGTCAAATCTAAATGTACAGATTATATAAAACAAAATGTCTTCTTTTAAAATGTGATAAAAATACTACAAATATGAGAGAATGAATAAATAGAGTTAAAATAGTCTTGGTTTCTTTCATTGTCCTGGAAGTGGTAAAAATCCTTATTTGTATTAGACACTTTGTGTGTGTGTGTGTGTGTGTGTGTGTGTGTGTGTGTGTGTTTTGTGCTGGAGATCAAACCCAGGATCTTGTGCATATTAGGGAAGTGCTCTACCACTGAAGTATACCCCTAGCCCTTATACTAGACACTTTCAATGCAAGGATGAATAATGTAATCTCTAAAGTAATCAATAAAGAAAAAGAAACTGTAAATGATATATTAATAGAAGGGAAAATGGAATTATATGATAATTGATTACTCCCAAAGAAGGCGATTGTGGAAATAAGAAAAAAAAATTGAAATACTAAGATTTGAATCCAGATATGTCAATAATTTCATTAAATGCAAGTGCACTAAGTAATCTATTTAAAAGACAAATATTTTGACCAAAAAAATTAAAAAGATTGCTTATAAAATCATAACTACAAGAATTTAGAAAGGATGAAAATCAAAGGATAGAAACAAACTTCTAACCAATGGAAGCTGAATGAATGAGATGTACAGACAAAACATATTTTATGACAAGAAGTATTACTAGACGTAAAAAAAAGGATATTTTAAAATGATAGTAGTTAATCCATCAGAAAAATAAAACCATTTTTGCGGGGAGGGGTATTGGGATTGAACTCAGGGCCACTTGACCACTGAGCCACATCCCCAGCTCTATTTTTGCATTTTATTTAGAGACAGGGTCTCACTAAGTTACTAGCACCTGGCTTCTGCTGAGGCTGGCTTTGAACTCACCATTCTCGTGCCTTAGCCAATTCAAAATATTAGAAAGATATACTAAAAATAAACAGCAAATTAAAAGAAGAGACAAATCCATAATCATATCTCTTTTAGTAATTCATAGTATACAGATACAAGATATAAAAGATTTTGGCAGCCATTATTGACTTAATTGATATAAAACATTACATCCAACAACCAAATAACACACTTTCCTTTCAAGTAACTCATGAAACATTCATCAAATCTGAACAAATCCTAGGTTAAAAGTGCGTCTAAATTTTCAAAGAAACAAATTATTTAAATGACCTTCCTAAAGTCTCTGAAATATTTGTTGTTAAAGGATTCAAACATTCTCCCTATAGTTCTTTTTCCTCTTTTTTCACAGAATGTAGAAGCTAAATAAGTTCACACTAATTTAAAGTGACTCTAAACTATAGATCAGCACCATAAATTAAGTCACTAAACTTTTTTCCTACATATCAGGTCACACAACAACCAACCCAACAAGGACTTCTGAGCTTACCTTCCGCTTCAGCGGGTACCACCGCAATTGCTTGTTCTGTTTGTTGTCCCAGTCCCATGCTTCCAAATCAAGTTCCACCTCCCCCAGGAAACTATTGCGCTTAAAGGTATCCCGATGCCAAACGGACAGGTTCAGCTTCTGTGTCTTTAAGATTTGCTTTTCAACTTTATACTGCAGTTCAAAGAAGAAATTTAAACAATGAATAACATTACTTTACTCCAAAGTCATGACACAGAGATAAAGAGAAAGTCATCTGCACAGATCAGATTTTCTCATTTGTTAGGTTTCAAGTCTCAAAAATAGTGCAAAGTCATCTTATTCTAAGTATTTTATTTCAAAGAGCTAAAATTCATCTTTCATTATAGCTGATGTTCTTCCCACCCCGTCCCCCCCACCCAGGAAAAGTAGACTATGGCTCAAATATCATAGCTGATAATAGCTTTCTAAAAACAAAAGTGAAGTATTCAATGTTTGCTGGATGTTTTCAGACTAGATATAATGTAAATCAAATTCAGTCAAAAAATGCAAATCAAATAAAATCTAGTTATCTTTTTCTACCTGAGGACAAGGCACATTTCAAATAGACTTTATTTTTTAGAGCAGTTTTGGGTTCATGGAGAAAATGAGCAGAAAGTGCTGAGTTCTTATATACCATCATGCACCCCTCCCTATCAACATCCCCATAAAACAAGATATTTTTCAAAAAACAATAAAAATTTGTTTTTTTCCTAGCTTCACGTGATAAAGCAGAGAATATTTGTCATGCAACAGTTTTTCATGCCAAATCTAAGTCGATCCTTGATTACATATAATCAAGAAAGAATAATAGTACTTCTAATCTAAAAATAATCTCCACTTGGCTTTATGATGTATTACATGACTGTCCATTTTGGTTGTACAAACCTGCCTTTCTCTGCATTTACCATTTAAATTAGCTGGCTTTTCCTGAGTATAGGGTTGAAGCAGCTGATTCAGAAATAGAAAGGTAGTGGGGAACATCAGTTAAACAGTAATTAAAAACTTGCTTTCAGAAAATCCACAGGTGCCTAATTCCACCATGGATGATTAAGAATTTATTTAACTGTTTGTTTTCCCAGAGGATAATCAAATACTTAAAAGAGTTTTCAGCTGGGCGTGGTGATGCCCACCTGTAACCCCAGCAGCTCAGGAGGCTGATGCAGGAGGATCACTATTTCAAAGCCAGCCTCAGCAAAACCGAGTGACACCCTGTCTCTAAATAAAATATGAAATAGGGCTGGGGATGTGGCTCAGTGGTTGAGTGCCCCTGAATTCAATCTTCAGTACCACTCCCCCCCAAATAAGAGTTTTCAAAAAGAGGTAATGAATGACACTTTTTACAGTTTTAAATGATCTGTTAGTCACAACAAAGACAGCATAATAGAGTTTGGGAGAAGAAAATGAATTATGGGTATGTGAGCCAGGTATATTCTCCATTCATCTGTTCATCCATCTATCCTTCTCATAAACATTTTTTGGCACCTATCCTACACAGTGTACTACCTTTGAACATTTGTTAAAAGTTTAATGTGTGCTAATCACTTCACATATATTAACTCTTTTAATATCTATAACCACTGCAGCTGGTGAGTACTACTATTATTCTTTTGCTGATCCCCAAACCATCATTTTCCCCATTTCTCAGATCTGAGATGCAGGTATATAATTTTCCCAAAGGTACACAAACTATAAACACGGCACAGCCCTCATGGAGTATAAAATTTAGTGTCAAACAAACCACTAGAATAAAGTGCTGCGTGTTAACATAAGTTTATCATAAAACAAAGTTTTTGAGGCAGCAGACAGCAAAGGAACTTAGGATTTAACAACATAGGAACATAGGAAGAGGTATTAATAACTGTGTAGGAGGTAGTTAGGGGAAAATATGGGAATAACTATTCCATCCCAAAAGAACAGAAAATCACAGCAGTCAAGAAAATGTACTTCCTCCAGAGTACAGAAAAGAAATATAAGATGACTAGAACAAAAATTATGAAAAGGTAAAGTTGAGGTCAGAGCTCTGGTTGGGAAGGGACTGATATGCATGTTATTAAGGATGGACTTGCTCCTCAGGGTAGTGGGAATCATAAAAAAAAATAAGCAGAGAAATATCAAAATTGTAACCTTGAGCCAGTTACTCTCTCTCTCTCTCTCTCTGAGCTTCATTTGCCTCATCCGGCAGGAGATGCACAGGGAGGGCATGACATAACACATATAATACTCATGGACAGCCTCTCATACAGAGCAGATTCTCAGAAATTTATATTCCTTTCTTTTCTTTTTTCCTTGGTGACTGACTTTATCTGTGTAAATACTACCCAAGAAGACATGGCTATTTAAATTGCACAGGTCAGCATTTAGGATTTTCCTATGTAAGAGAGTTCACAGATACCCGCAGTATCTCGTTGTACACAGGATTCAAGGTTTTCTTCACCACCACTGTTTTCTTCTTGCCCATTTTGCCTTTGTCTGGTAACAAATAAGTCTTTACATATCTAAAAATAAGACAAAATAGACAAGTAGGTCAGAGAAGATAAAAATGTTTCCACGTCTACTCCTAAAAACCACAATGACATTATTACCCTAGGTTCATGTATGACTGCACATATGGTACAACACTACATCATGTACAACCAGAGAAATGAAAAGCTGTTCTACAGTTGTGTATAATGAATCAAAATGCATTCTGCTGTCATATATACCTAATTAAAATTAATTAATTAATTTAAAAAAAAACACAATGAAAACTGACAACAGTAATACTTATTTAACCACATGGAGAAAAGTAGTAAGTACTAAATGTTCACAACACCACCTTTATAATTAGATATTGAAAGGGATTTTAATGGAATAGATCACTTAATATTGTTTAAGTTTTTTTAAACATTTAATTTTTGGTTATAAGTGGACACAATACCTTTTTTTAATTTTTTTTTTTTTTATGTGGTGCTGAGGATCGAACCCAGTGCCTCACGCATGCTAGATGAGTGCTCTACCTCTCAGCCACAACCCCAACCCTGTTTTGAAGGATTTTAAGGGAAATTTTCTGAATTCATTTTTGCCCTCTGGCCTCCCATCATGTACGGGGAAGGGGGAGTGCCTCTAAAATAGTGCTTAATTCTGTTGGTTAGTTTTCTATTGAGAAAAGGCTTTGGTGCTTCCAGTTTTTTGTTTGTTTTGGTTTTTGTTGTTATTGTTTTGTTTGTTTTTAAGTTTTTGTTATTGTTTTTTGGGGAAAATTTAATTTTGACACACATCTAATTGAGCCAATTAAAAAAAAAATGAAGAACATTGGGCCCCACTGTTTTTACACTAAAAATGAAAGAAAAAATATTGGGTTTGGCCCAGCACAATAATTAAGAATTAGACTTCTACAAAAGGATGAGTGGAGAATACCATCTGACTTTTGCAAACAAAATGAAATGCAATCAAACTTGTGATTTAAAATATGAATTAATAATTTTCTCTAAAGTTCTTCTGTAGGACTTAGTTTAAGTAATGGAAGCTATGTCATTCTAAAGTCTTAATTATTTTTTTACACCGAAGAACATTAAAAAATTTGAAGGTGTTCTGGAAAGAGTCAGGGATTCAAGTTTTCATTCTTAATTTTGCTGCTATCTGAATTCACATATATGGGTTGTTTTCTCTATCCCTTATTTCCTTATCTATAATATGAATGAACTGGATAAAATGTCTTCAAAGGTTTCTTCCAACTTGAAACTTTTTGTGTTTCTCTGTGATTTTTATAATTTTAATGTTTGATATATAAGTTTATAAAGTAAATAAAACAGCATTTCTCTCCACCTTTTCAAATAGTCCTTTTAACACAGTCACACACAGACTCTTCTTTGATTCTTTTATTTTCTTCTTTATTCCTACAAGATTCAGTTTGAAAACTAAGAGAAAGTAGGTGACTCCACGATGTACTTACGGGTCTGAACGTTGTTTTTTTACGTCTGCTGCTGCTAAGTCCTTACACTGGGCCACAAAAACATGCAGCTCTTTCAGTGAATCCACATAGTCAATTGCAAACTGAATGTTTCCTTTCACTTCCAGATTGCCAAAGTCTCCACTGTAAACACTCATCACACTGCCACTCACCTGAAAGCATCAGAAACATGCAAGGTTTGTCTCAGAGCAAAAACTATGGACATAATCCCTGCTTGGCATTATTTCTCCAGCTTATAGAAAGCAGTTAATTCAGCAGGGCGTAAGGACAAATAAATACAGACAGCATGACATGATATACATGGTTAGGGTTTGTTTGTTTGTTTGTTTAAGTTGTTCCTAAAAGACATAGATGAAAAGTGAAATGCTAAGTTATTTACATGCTGGCTCATTTGAAAGGGGGGTGATTTCATGCTAGGTGGCATTCAGAGTTCCATTTTTAGGCATGCATAGTATTTAAAATGCTAAAGACAGAAAATGTGAGAAACTCTAGGTCCACAAATCACAATGACACATTGCTTAAATTTCCAAGGCACTGAAAAGGAATTTTATCCATCCACTGAATCTAGGAAAATGCTTACTGAGCCATGTACTTTTAGAGGTCAGAAAGGGTAGAAAATGGATGATTGATGAAAGGGGGTTTAAAGCTTTCCCAAGGGTATACATTAGATTATCAGCAGAAAATCAATTTAAATAGATTTCTTTAAAAAGGTTTCAGAAATGCAAGGCTAGTAAAAACTGAAGCAAAGCTTCCTTATTTGTTTAGCATACCTGGTGAGATATATGTATGTGTATGTATATGATAAAAATATTTAGATAAGTATATCTCAATACACTTATATATGTATATTTCTATACCACATGCACATTCCATACTAAATGCACATACAACTACTTAAGTGTATGCAAGAAGTTCTATGTAAAGTCAAATTCTCTCAAATCAAATCTAGGCAACTACACTTAGGGAGTTTTCATTTTATAACCCTTTCTGCATCTTTCTGTAAGACAAAGGACACCTCTCCTTTTCTTTTATGTGAATCAGTATATTTATTAACAGGCTTATTAAAAAGATAGGTACAATTCTATGTCTGTAAACAATATATAGAAGCATATCTGATATAATGTTTTTGTAATAGTTACCCCATTTGTTGCACAGAAAAATTTAGTGACTCATCTTCTTGGTAATTTAGGTTTATTTGTGAAGTACTTAAATCCAAAAACTTTTGTGCATTTATAATGGATATGAAATCCCTGTGGATTAGAGAAAATGCTTGTGTCCTTACAGTCTAAGAACTACAATAGGAGGTCACTTTACAAAGCAGGCAAAGCAATGTTTAGAGCAGCAGAAAGATATTAACATGGAGCCTTTGGTTACATACAGAAGACAAGGACGTCATGCCAGAGGAGCTGCTAAGATTGGTTAAAGAGCTCGGGCTCTTCTTGTGTCTGCTGAGCTGGTAACTGCTTTCTGATGCTGTATCTGTTTCTCTGTCATCACTCTACAAAACATCATATAATATGCACAGTATTTAAATTAGGTATGAGTCAAGGGCAGAAGGATATCTTGATATCCACTGATCTATGACATTTCCCAAGGTTAAAGGATGCTAGCACTAATTGTGGAGGAATGGGATTCAAGAGGGAATGGGTGGTCAATACTAGACCTCATCTAAGGAGGAGGGTAGTGTTTAGCTACCATAATAATAAAGTGATATTTCCACCTGCACAGTGCTATAAAAGACAACACTGTTAGGAGCCTTCTTGTCACTTTTTAAATATTATATATTTATGTTTCTCAGGGAACTTTTTTCATAATTACCCAGACAATGAAAGGTCTAAGATATCCTATCAGTACACAATGTTAATTACTCTCATTTTTATTGTAGACTTAGCTTTAAAAATCAAATCTTTTTTTTACTTGAGATAATACTAAACTAGGAAAAAGAGATGCCAGACTGATCTATTTCAACTAAAATTTTAAACCACCCCTTATTATTTCTATAGTTTATTGTGCTTAACATTTTATTGCTATAGGAGAGCATATAAAATTATACATTCCACCTACATTAGAGCTTGACACATTTCTTAGAAAATTTAAAATGAGTAAGATACTTATTTTAATTATGTCCCAAGAAATATGTGCCTGGGACAAGAAAGTAGGAGTGCTAAATTTCATTATATTTATACCTAAAGTTTTTGGGTGGTAGCCTACAAAGTTTGTGATTCAGAATGAGCTCCTTTTGGGGTTAGAGAGCTTAAGGAACAGTCCAAGAATTCCTGGGGTTATGGAGAGTAGTTAATTCATGCCAACATATTCCAGGACCATGCAATTATGTACAAATATAATATGAATGCCAATTCTAATGAAGATTAATAAAATAGTTAGAGAAATAAAATAAATAACTTATATGGATGAGAAAAAATCCTTTCTAAAGGATTAAAAAAATCATACTTTTTAAATATCTCTGTTGTCACATTCTCTCCCCACATGCTGAATAACCATTTTCCTCTGTTATATCATATACTATGTTCTACCTAGATAATCAGATCATTAGTCAATTATTGGAAGGGTGGGACCTTGTTGTGTTGAACTGGGTTGGTGATTTTCACACAAGTATTACTGATGCTAAGTCTCAAAGGGACAGTGGATAAAGAAGCAAAACCTGATTTCATCTCCACTTTTTTCTTTCTTTTTTAAAAATATTCAGTTCAACTCCATGTCGTTGGGAAGGTAAAATAATACAGTTCATCTAAAGCCCTAGAATATACAGAAGGGTGCCCAGGATGCATACAATGGAACATGATTTATATGTTACCCAGAATTTTCCTTATATTCCATCTACTAATAGAATGCTTGACAATAAAGTCTTTTATTTCTGGCATGTTCAATACACAAACCCAAATCATTTGAACTTCTTTCTGTGTGGGGTTTGGGGACAGGTTAAAACTGAAGAGAAAAGAAAAGTATAAAAAACAGAAATTGATATAATTTATCTTTCAAATTGTTATAGGATTCATTCCTATGACAAACTAAGACGAAAGCAGATTACAAAGGTATAAAACCACAGAACCTCCATTGGGTATTTACCATTAGCTTCCAGCTTATAAGTTAGTTCCAAAAAATTAATAGATTCTTCCCAAAGGAAACTGTAATGTGGGCTCTTAAGCATATGCAAGGGCTGAACATTTGCAGAAACAGTTCATCGAAAGCCCCAGAATGGACAGAAGGGTGCACAGGATGCATGCGATGGAACATGATTTATATGTTACCCAGAATTTTCCTTATATTCCATCTACTAAGAGAATGCTTGATAATAAAGTCTTTTATTTCACCATCAGAAATCAGATCAAAGGCAAAAACAGCACACACCTTTAGCAGGTACTCACTATGTATCAGTCACTGTACTATATATTTTACTGCATTTAGGCCACTGATTCCCCACAATCTCACGTGATAGGTACTGGGAAACCAGACTCAGAAAAACTAAAGAATTTGTCTTCTGATCACACAATATCAGAGGCAGGAATGGAAACATCTGACTCTGGACCTAAGACTCCCAACTACCTTACTACAAGAATGAGATCTTGGGGCTGGGTTTGTGGCTCAGTGGTAGAACACTCACCTAGCATATGTGAGGCACTGGGTCCAATCCTCAGCACCTCATAAAAAAAATAACTAAAATAAAAATATTGTGTCCATCTAAAACTGAAAAAAAAAATTAAAAAAGAAAGAATGTGGGATCTTCATTAAGTCAAAGCACCTGAGTTAAACTGGATCTTTTTTTTGTTGTTATATTCTGGCTTTGTTGTTGTTGTTTTGTTTTAACTTTTTGTGGTGTTGGGGATTGAACCCAGGGCCTTGCACATGCTAGACAATTACCCTACAATTGAGTTACCTAGGTCTACTTTTTAATAGCTATGGAATGTTGGGAAGGTGGCTTCACCTCTCTGAGGCTCTTTCCTCTTTTTTAAAAGAGAGAAAATAGTACCTACCATGTACAGTTAGTGAGAACTGAATATCAGAATGCATATTACGTGCCTGATACATACAATTGCTCAATGAATAGTGGATGATAATAGTCATGTTCTTACCAGAGATGGTAGTATACAGTTGTTATCAGCATGGGAATCAGATCTGGGCTCCAGAGTTGGGCAACCCCTTTCTGGCTGAGTAAGTTTACTTCATTTCTCTTGGTCTCAGTTTGCTCACCTATAAATTCTGGGGATACTGATGATGCCTACTTTTCAGGCTTGTTGGATGATTAAATGAAAAAATTAAGGTGAAGTCCCTGGCACCCTGTAGATGTTCCTGAAAGTTTGCTGCATCATTGTTACATCATTATTTTAACAAATGCTCTCGAGGTAGTCTTACTATCTAGACTAAGCTTGCACAAACCAGCTTTAAGCTACAGAGGGGTAATTAATTCATGCCAACATATTTCTGTCTGGATATCGTATTTTGTACCTACTTTGAAACAAAAGTCACATTCCCAAATCTATGCAATCTGACTCCACTGACCAAAAAGAGTTACTGTTTGAGTCAACTGAGACACAGCTTGCCTTGTTCCAGGATCAACAACACTGCCTCCATTGACTTGGAAAACAAGGTCAGACCTGCTGACCTCTTAGGACTCTGCCACAGTACAATATAAACACAGTAACCTGGCTTTATTTTTCTGAAGGTGAAAAAGACAAACTTGCCTCATCTTGGAGAAATGCTGGAACAGACTTGCTCATCCTTTTGAATTTGTCAGGGTGGGAAAACAGATTATCTGGTTGTGAAGGCACTGTGGAAACTAAACAGCAGCATTTCAATTTCAAAATTATTCTTTCAATTATAAGATATTAGGTATAAGTTGAAAACACTTTTCTTTCATCTATGAATGGACACGTTTTGTAAAGGTTAAAAGCACAATAGTTCACATGCACAGGTTTATGAGGTAAGCAACATGCAATTTTTACAAATTATATATAGAGAGAGAACTAGCAAGGAGTTGAACCAAATACTAAATAAAAATTAATTAAAAAACATTACTTCTTATTGAATTGGAGCTGGACTTGAATTAAAGTATTATGTAGATATGAATTGGTTTTACTTATTTTCTCATATCAGAGCTTTGAAAACCAAGGGCTATAATTTATTGGTTCATCTCCTCAGATCTACTATATTAATAACATGCTTAGGCTGAAAAACTATTTCATCTGGATAGTAAGGATCTTTGTACATACTCAATAATAAGAGTGTTCTTTTCTATTGAATGATTAAGAAGAGGTCTGTTTATTTAGTGATCATAAGGATTCCTTTAATAATAGTGTTTCTTACTCAATTATAAAAAAGTATAATTTTAAAATAATTGTTGCTTTAAATACAAATTATTTAGCCACTTTTGACTCAGAGAAGTCTCAATATTCAAGGCCAAGTGTAAATGGCTCAAGTTAGTATACTTTTAAGAATTTAATATGAAAATATAGCATATGTCTTCTTTCTAGGTTTGGAACACACAATAAAAGGATCAATTCTAACCTGAATTTGCATATCTTTAGAAAACCATTTTCTTCTTTAAGAATCACAAGGTCTAAACTTTTCTATTGCTATACTGTATATTGTGTGCACGTATATGCAACAAATCCCATCATGCACCAATAAAAAAAATGTGGGGGAGGCTGAGGGATATAGCTCAGTTGGTAGAGTGCTTACCTCACATGCACAAGGCCGTGGGTTCAAGCCCCAGCACCACAAAAAAAAAAAAAAGTGGGGAGAAAAACCTTTCTTACAGTGAATCATAATTCTTATAATAAAAAAATTACAAGGCACTTGGTATAGCCTAACACATAGTAGGTTCTGTAAAAATATTCTAAGCAAATTAACATTATATGATAGGGAATCTGTCATACTGTAAACCCCATACAAATGTATTAACTTGTATCATTAAGAGATATAAAAATAGAACTATATTTCTGTGTATAACTCAAAAGACATTTCTAAACATTCATCTCTAAACATTGTATAAACTCATCTTTAACTGAAAGAAATCCAATGGAAAAAACTGAAAAAAAAACTTATTCACATATCAGTTCTCAATTAACCTTAGACTTGCAAAGGACAATGTAAAACAAAATCCATTCACAATGTCTTATAAAATATCTACTTTAATCACTTCCCATTAAACAATGTGTGTGTGTGTTCTAGGGTGAATTATAATGATAGTAGTATAAGATGAGGTCACACAGTATGGTTCAATGAGAATATAAAAACTTTTTCATTATAACAACACTGCTTCTGATGTTTTCAAGGTATATTGTGGCATGATGCTCTGCGGGTCAAACTCAATTATACTCACTAATCAAATGTAGTCAATTTTACATTTATGGTCTCTTTAATTATTTAGGTTTTGATCATATGTCTGATCTTGTCTTATGGCAAATATAAATATATATATATATATATATATATATATATATATATTACTAGTGAAAAGATACTAAAAGTAATTTTGGAGAATATTACCAAAAATAGAAATTAATTGACCCAGAGTCCAGCATGCAATTTGTCTATTTGCCTTGACTAATAACTAAGCCAATTAGGTGGTCATGTACGAACATACATCATGTGTCTACATATGTCTTGCTTTCATTCCTCAGACTAAATATTGAACAAAACAAAGAAAGATAAAGTCAGATGCCCAAACTTATGCAAGTTCCAGATCAAGAGCAACTAGAAAAACCTCTTCATCCAACACCTCTTAAAGGGCATAAGTCTTGTTTTGTCTGCAATAGCTAGACAGAGAGCAGATACTCACAAGGGCCAGGCCTGGATTGTCTTCTTTCCTAGGCAGTGCTTAAGAATTTGTCAAGTCATGTGCCAAAGCTCAGCGCCTTCACTGCTGGCAGGAAGACCTCATGAGCAAAGTTTCAGATTTCATGCTAGATGTCACTGACTTCTTGCATCAGCACATCATTTCTCTACCAAATGGCTCCTTCATTTAGCTGCTTTCCTTTTAAGGCCTATTAGTACACCCAACGGATGTTGGGAAATTATAATTATTAAAAATGCTGTGGACCCAAGGGCAGGCATGTGTCATTATCTTCATAATTCCATAGCCTAGGTTTATAAAACCAATTGAAACTAGGGAGCTAAGGAATCACACATGCATAGCTGCATGCTTTGCGAGGCCCCAAAAACATCTTTTAATGCAACATCTGTCCTTAAGCCAGTAATCATAGCTAAGTAGTGTAACCTTAAAATTGAACAGAAAAGAGGGAACAAACATTACTTTTGCTTAGTAGTGGACACTTATTAGTGGATGGACATTAGTTGCCACAAGAATACATTTATTTCTTAAGCTCAGATATTCACTTGACCTTTAACATTGAATATTTATTGTTCAAATCCAGTTTTGAGCCTGAGTTTAAACCCTAGATGTAATAAAATTTGCTTTTATAGATATGTAAAAAGGCATATACAACCATACTACATACATATGAACTGTATAGTTTTTTGGGGGGTCCAAATAAGTAATAAAACACTTCATTACTACAGTCTTATATAGAGAATGCAAGAAATGAATACTCAAGACCTCACTGTAACATAAAAGTCAACTGAAATCAAAAGTGCCAATCTGACTTTAAGCAAAGACTCAAGGATCAGATAGACTGACAAAAGTCAATAATACTCAGTAATAGCAATAGCTATACATACACACACACACACACACACACACACACACACACACATATTTTAACACTTAAATCTCCCTCAATATAACCACAGATTATTCTTTCAACATAGACAGTAGTAAAATGTTTTTAACAAACCCTTATTGAAATGAAATAGTTTTACAAGCTGTGGGAGTTTAGCAATAATAAATGCTTTGTTATTAATGGGTTAGTTCTTTCAGTATATTTAACACTATGTGGAATGCAACATTTAGTAATTTGAGAAAGATCCCGCTACTCACTTCCTGGAATGCATTCATTTGTATCTTGTTCCTGATCTGCTTTTTGATCTACTCAGAAGAGTAACATTGAGAATAAATACCATTTTAACAGAAGAATTAAACAGACATGAAAGTAAAGCTGAAATATCATTTTCACAACTGAAATTGGAGAATACACGGCAGGTTCTCAGCTTGCTTTCCATCTGTATCCCAGTGTGATGCTTCATTAGTCTCTTTAAGGCTTCATTTTCAACTAAAAATCTAACATCCAGCATAGGTGATATGTAGCCTTTTCTGCTGATTTGCTAAGCCACAGCACAGAAATGGGAAGGAGCACTGAACTAGGAGCAATGAAGCTGAGATTCTATTCCCTGCCCTTCCCCTTTCTGACTAGCTACAGGAGCTTAGAAAAGTCACCTAGTTTTTCTGAGCTTTTCTTATCTGCAAAATGAAGATTAAAATCCTTATCCCACCTGCTTCAAAGAGATTGTTAAAAATAAGAAAAACAAATCTATTACGTAAGAGTAAGGAATGACTTTGAGGAGCTCTATTGCTACATTTTTATAGGAAAACTCACTGTATGCATTTTTATGATTACAGTAAGAACAATTTACAAAAATAAAAAAGCATAAAATAAAAATTGTACAAATGCATAAATTCTGAACTATAAAAATCAGACTCATTTCTATCTCCCCCCTGACCCAGGCACTATTACCTTATTTATTTTATAACTGAACTAAGTAATACATAACCCATTGATAAGCTTCAAGATCTTCTAGCTCCTTAATATTCAGAATCAATTCTAAACCCTCAGTCTGTACTATTTACATAAGCTGAGACAGGCTTCCCCACCCTTGTTCTGGGGCCCTTTCCTCTGAACTTAAAGTCTTAACCATTTGTACACAAAGAGAGCTAAATGCTGAGCCTTGAGCATTAAATATAGGAATAACCTAACCCAGGAACCCACMCCCTCTTCTTGCCTTCAAAAGAAGTTCTGCAAATCAGAGTCACAAAAATCAGCTCATATGCATAGAAATACAATTTCATATTTACAGAAACCCTTGCTCCCCAAGGGTCTCTGATGAAATCCTTAAAATAGTTTCACCAGCAGAAGCCATAAAAATACAAATAGTGTTAAATGCACCAAGTCAGAACCATTTTTATAATAACTTAGGCACTATTCGCCACATAGTGGTAAATGACGTTCTTCTATTTATCCAACAGCTGCGTCCGAGTAACTGCACAAATCACCCCAGAACTTAATACACAAACAGACATGCAAATACATAAAGATATTTACCATCTTCAGCACTACGTACTAGTTCTTCTGGCAGATTATCTACTTTTGCTTGATCTGTTCAGGAGAAATTAATAAATGGTTAACGAGACCGCCCCTTAGAAAAAGAACAATGAGATTGTCCCTGGAAGCTCCCGGAGTTGGAAGCAATTAGTCAAGATGCGGTGAGGGGTGCAACCAAGATGTCTTCCCAAAATACTTTCTCGTTAGATTAGCTACTTGAGCCAGTGCCATAGCAGGAGCTCCCATTTCAGCCCGGATGCAGCACACATCAGCACACTGCTGCACACCGACTCCCAAGGGTTAGAGGGTTAGCTCAGAGCAAGCAATTGGCTGACAGCAGGAGAAAGCACGGGGCTGCAACAGCCTCTCTATTCTTCTGGAAAGGGTAAGATGCTGGCCATGACTAACACCTCCCCAAATCTATGGTCATTAACAAATATTTGTGTGTATGCATCATCATTTGCATATGCCTCTGGGAGGCTTGCTTGGGAAGTCAACTGAAGAGATGTAACTGGGGACCAGCTGCTAAGTGGAATTTTGGCAGGCTAGTGTGAGAGTGGGTATCGGTATTTGGAAGGGAGCCTGCAGGAATACCCGTCAGCTGATGGTGATTTTTTTTTAACCCTACACATTCCTGAATACTTTAAAGCTGCACCATGGAAATAGCTCCATGCTTCAGAGACAAAGAGGTTTGCTAAACTGAACGATTGTCACTGAGGTTTTTTTCTTCAAGGCCTATCACTGACATAAGGAAGAACAATTAAGGCTGTCCAACAAAGGATGGGACTGCCTTCTCTGGAAGCATCCAGGCGGATATGGGGGTTGACCACCTGTTGAGGAGGCATTAGAGGGAATTCCTGCATGGGGGGGAGGTGGGGGGGGGGACTTTGAAATGGGTGACCTTTAGGGTCCCTCCCAAACCTAAGATTCTAAAATCCTTGGGAGGGTTAGCTCTACCTTCCAAATTGGGGACATTTTCTAGATCCCTGGAAATCTCTGAATTTTAGAAATTTAGTGAAGTGTCTTTTTCAGTTTTCTTTTAAAACTCTGACTACTTAGTCTCAACTGAAGGTGTTAAAATATATAATAAACCCAATGGTCAATTATCAATCAATCAATTTGGCAGTGGTTAGCTTTTAATCAGTTTTTCCTTATAGCCTTGTGAAATCCCACAGGTATATCTTTAGCTTTAAAAGGGTAAGAACCAAACCCATAGAAGTCATAGTTCCACTTGTCTGCTCATGGGTCCCTATGGATGTTATGTTTTCTGTTAGTACAGAAGAAATCCTTCACCAATTAAAGCAGCAGTCAGTGGGGAATAGTGTCCCTAACATATTGTATGTTAGGTAGTCTTTTGGTTTATAGACCCAATATCCAAGAGAAATGTGGGAATAGAAAAGAAGGAATGAGCTGGGTATGGTGGTACATGCTGAGACAGGAGGATCATGTGATCAAGTTCAAAGATAGCCTCAGCAATGTAGCAAGGGTCTGAACGACAGCAAGATGCCGTCTCAAATTTAAAAAATAAAATAAAGGGCTGGGGGCTGGGGATGTAGCTCAGGGGTTAAACACCCCTCGGTTCAACCCCTAGTACCAGAGAAAGAGAGAGAGAAATCCTTGAAGCCAGGGACTAATTCAGACCCATATCATGCAAAATTCATTAGACACCTAACACTGTCACATATAATATTATCACTTCACAAATGTTAGTGACAGTTATCTTTTGAGTCCCAGGTCTGCTGTGTGATACTAAGCAAGCAATTTCACCTCTCTGAGCTTCATATTCTTTATCTATAAAGTGGGGATAACAATTATTCATCTCTCATAGAGCGCTTATATTGGTTAAATGAATTAATACATGTGGAATTCTTAGAAAATTTTTGGCACATAATATTCAATAGATGTTAGCTATTCCTATTATTCCATTATTGCTACTAGCTGCCACGATCCTTTAAAACACTGTACTTGAGTAAACACTCAAAATGGGATGCTTTGATTCAAGGAAACGTAGTAGTGTAGGAACCAAACCTCATGCATTATTTTTGAAAGCAGTGTTCTGGACACTTAAGAGTGAGTCTCTGATTCAGTACACTTGGGGAAGGTTATTCCCATCTGTCAACCCCTGTATTAGGAGTTTCAGTGCACGTCAACATGCAGTCAGACCACAGAACAGCACATAAGCACTTTTAAGCTTAGATGGAGCATGAACAGTGGGGCAAACTTTATTCTCACTTGATAAATCTGATGAAATGTCTTCTAGACTTTTGGAAGGCATTTTCCTAGCAGCACTCCTTTCCAAAGCTTTCAAAACAGGACTGGGTTCTTCTTCTGAACCTGTTATAAGACAAAACCGATGAACACTGCACAATACAAAAGAAAAAACAAACTTTAAATAACGAATGGACATTGAAATGGTGGGTTCAAAAGAGAAATTATGGCATAAGCCTCCCTACTTTTATTTGTTCTACCAAGAAACTATTTAATAGAAGAAAATTAAATTTTTCTACTACTAATATTCCTTTAAATTTTTTTCTTCATTGAGAAATATTTGCAAACATAAATCATATAGAAACAAGATCAGCACATTGATCTCCTAATTGTTTACACTTTTATTTTAGGCACACGATTTATTTTGTCCAGACTTTGAATCTTCCAGCCACAAAATGATTTTAAAAGCATTTTAAAAATTAGCCTGGCGATGTGATGCACACCTACAATCCCAGCGACTCAGGAGGCTGAGGCAGGAGAATTCCAAGTTTAAAGCCAGCCTCAGCAGTTTAGCGAGGCACTTAGTAATACAGTGAGACCCTGTCTCTAAATAAAATATAAAAAAGGTCTGGGGATGAGCCTCAGTGGTTAAGCACCTCTGGGTTCAATCCCTGCTACCAAAAAAAAAAAAAAAAAAAAAAAAAAAGGGCTGAAAACCATGAAACCATGGAGGGCAGGATTTAGAGATTTAACTCTGTATGCAAATGGGTACACAAATGAGGGACTTATCCAGTTCAACAACTCAACAACTATAGGTTTTCTGGATTTTATAATTTAATAAAATTTCAAATAAAATGTTGGTAAATAAGTGGGGAAGTCAACTTTTTATTTAACTAAGGAATTTTAAAAGGGAAGATGAAATTCTATCCTTTACTAATGGCTACATTTTGTAAAAAAGAAAGACATTTTAGGACAGAGAGGGGGGAAAAAGGGCATATTTTTAGACTAAGAATAGTCCTGAAATTAAATACATATCACTTTATCAGAAAAAGTCTCAATAATATCATTTCTTTTTTTTCTTTCCATTTTAACAGTGAAAAACCCCCATCCTTGATAGTCCTGGTCTTATTACTGACATTTATCACTGTCTATACTCAGTGCCTAAAACTGTGGCTGAAAAAAGGCACTTCAAAAATATTTGCTGAATCAATGAATGAATGATTCAATTAATGAATCAATGAGTTTAAGAATCACTTCTCTAAAAAAATAATTTCCTGAAATGCATTCCAGCTCTGCCTAACATTGATACGCATTCCACAGCAAATAGATTCTAAAATGAACAAGATTTGAGATGTTCTTTGTTCAAATTTAAGAGGTTTCTTATTGCAAAGCTTCTCGGAGATTTTGACAAGCTAATAAAATATATAATTTCCCAGCATTTCCAAAAGTATTTGACCATGGAAAATTTCTTTTCCCTAAAGGAACATATTGAGGTATTGGTTGGTTAAGAGCTTGGCCACAAGTCAAACATGTTAGTTTGTTCAGCAAAATTAGGGTGGTTTTGTAGTAAGGTTCCTACCCAAATCTTACCTACACACTTTCCAGTTTGTTATAAAACAATAATTTAGGTCAAAGGATATAAAGCCATGACTATACCATCATATACCTCTTACTTGGCATTTAATTTTAAAATATCTTCTCTGGGCTCTGTCAGGGTAATAATTTAATATCACCTATTTTTTTCTTAGGCTTTTTGATATTCACTTAATGACATTGGTGCTCTATAAATCTGGCTAGAAATATTAGGTGATAGTGTTTTAAGTGCAGATTTGCAAGTCTCCTATGGGTCAGTTTACCCTAGAAACTCAAAGGGCAGTTTATTAAGAGAATACCCAACAAGGTTAACATGCTGAATTTATTACATGTTTGTTTTTAGAGACTAGCATTTCATTTTTTAAAAAAAACCCAGTAATATTTGTTAAATGGGCTTCAATTTAACTAATTAGGATTAAAAGTAGATCTTTAGTCAGTGTTCAAGGAGTGATGCTACATCTGCTTACAAAGGAACTCAAATCTCAAAAGTCAGCCACTCAGTAAAGCTTATCTAGTTTCTATTAAACCACAAGGGGGGCTGGGGTTGTGGCTCAGAGGTAGAGCGCTCGCCTACCATGCGTGAGGCACCGGGGTTCGATCCTCAGCACCACATAAAAATAAAATAAAGATATTGTGTCCACCTATAACTAAAAAAATAAATATTAAAAAAAGCACAAGGAAGGTGATGAATACCAGCTGTGCATTTGGTTGAAATGTCCCAGCCAGAGAGCATTCTCTATCATTTCATCACTTGAATCAGTTTAACTACTTATTCCAATGTGCTCTGGGGTTTCCCTACTAAAATATTTAGCCCAAGAGTTGGTGAGAATAGAAAACTGAGACAAGTCTTCTTTATAGCCTGGATGAAACCAGCACCCTCAGATCCACTTAGATGAATTTTGTGATCCAGTAAGACTTTAGCAATTCAGTCAAGGCTAAAGTCAAATAAATGCAGCTGCCAAGCCATGACTTTAGGTGGAATCAGGTGAAGTCATCTGACCAAAGTCATATTTTAGAAGGTGAAGTTTTTGCAGATAATTGAAAAAGACAGGGAGAGGACAGCGACCAAAATACTGCAGCACAAAGTATCTGAGAGAAGGAAAGACCCAGCCTTGCACTTCATCCCTGATATTTAGCCATACCTACAGGAAAATGTTACTCTTAAATGGGAAATTTGTGCCCAGTTCATTATTTTTTTTGTGTTTTTTTTTTTTTACAACTCTTACTAGAAACTTCTATTAGGATTGTCAATTAAGAAATTATAATTATTTCCAGGAGGAAGACTAATTTAAATATTTTAAAGATGATTTCTAAACCCCAAATATTATTTTAAAAATTTTGGAGACCTAAGAATTCTATAGGTAGATTAATGAGAACCAAGGATAGGCTCTGGAACACAAGCTTATAAGAAAGCTGTTTCTATGTAATCCATTTGAATAAAGAACCAAAGTGACAAAAATAATTTAGTGCCATTTAGAAGTGTCAAGTTAATAAAAAAAAATGTTTTAAAGTCATCCTTTACATCAGTATTCCATAAAGCAGATTTATCATGGGTTAAAAATTCAAAAATGCTTACTAGAAGTATTTCTCCAGCTTTCGGCATTAGAACCCGTGTTTCCATCTGAAAAATCAGAGTCAGAGAAACCTTCTTTTTCTTGCTTCTTGACTTGTCTCTTATATGGTGATGTTAGCTTCAATTCAACTTTACTTATTTTTGTAGGGTTTTCTTTCTTTGTCAAGAGAGAAACAGGTTGCTCACTTTTAGATACACTTTCTTTAGGAGCCTCCTCAAAGCCAGGTTCCTGAAAAGTCCCTAGTTCCCCTGCAACATCACTTTTGTTGTCCCTGTCCTCTGGGGAGCTTATTGTTCTAATGGTCTCTATTTCATGGTCCACATAAAGTGGTGGGGTTCCAGGGATCTCAACCCCACTTGCAGAACCACAAAGAACTGATGAATCACTCACAACTTCATCTCCTCCCAATACTTTAACAATTTGTTTGACTTGAGATTCCAAACCATTGCTTCTACCCTTCATTTCAGAGGCTCTTGGTTCTGCCCAGAACCCAGACTTCTCTGACTGTGAGGGCTCCTCCTCAGGAATTTCTTCCTTTACTGATACCTGGAGCCAATGAGGTGGAGCTTCAGATATTTCTTTAAGAAGTTTCTCAAACCCAATATCAAAAGCACTCTCAGTTATTGATGGAACCTCAGCCTTTACAACAATTTCTTCTATTTCCTTGGGATGGAATTTGGAAGCAGCTTGCCTGGGTGCCTCAGTACTACCTAGTAAGTCTGCTGGAGTGTGTGTCCCTGTATCCTTTTCATATCTTGAAGGGGAGGTTTCTAGTGTTTCCTTGTGGAGCTTTTCTAAGCCAGCAGTGAATTCAAGGAACTCTGATTTGGGTTTAATAATTGTTTCTCTCACAATTTCTGCCACTTCCTGAGGTAAGTCTTTGTCATATTGTGCCAGAGTAGAAACAGATGAGCTACGGAGCTGTTCCGACTCAGATAGCTGTTCAGATATCTGAGTGGTCAAATGAGATCCAACTTCATGAGTTTTATCAGGAACTACAGTGAAGGAATAAAAATCTTTCGTTTCTGGAATGATGGTGTCCATGGTAGCCCACAGTGGGATTGCACCCAGGGAATTTGGGGGGCTGCCCGCTGCCTGTACTCCTTCAGGAAATTCTGCTTTCACTTCTTCAGAACCTACTTCCCTTGCAGAATTACCCAGCCAAGCTTCTCTAAGTAGCTTCTTTAATACAGCATTTACATCATTCAATGCAGGTTTAGATGGAAGAATGACTCTCTCCACAGTCTCTGAAATTTCCCTTTGAGAAAGCAATGCTCTATCCTGAGGAGCAAAATGAGCATCCCAGGAAAAAGGCATGTCTTGTGGAGAGTTGGCCACATCCTCAAAAGAACCCTTTCTGTGAAGATGGGAAGGCTGATGCAACGGAGGAGAACTTTCTGCACCCATCTGAAGCAAGTTATCTGTGTTGAACTGAAATTCGCCACTTTCAGCTTTCTGGATGAGAGCTGTATTTGCCAAAGTTTCAAAGCCCTCTGATGAAGGAGCTATTATCTCTCTCTGACAGCCTTTCAGTTTTATCCCCTTTTCAAAAGATCTATCCTCTTCAAGCTGAAGGTCAGTTCCAGTGGTAAGGGGTTCTAACTTGGTTTGCAAGGGTGAGTGTGATATTCCAGTTGCTTCCTTCAGGAGTTTGTCTAGACTAGCAGCCAAAGTGTTTTGTTTGACCTTTGGAGGCATCACTGTTTTATCTACATGCTCATCAATGATCTCTTTAGGTCCTTTGGTTTCTTTCTCATCATCAGCAAAATCTGTATTTTGAAGCCAGTTCCCATCTTCAGAAATACCTGGTTTGAGTATTTGTTTTCCATGAGCTTCTCTACCAGAAGGTTGAATTGCTGGTGATGAACCTTCTGAAACCAACTTCTGTACACTGTCACTAAAAGTGTCTCTGCAGTCTTTAGATAAAACATGTTCTTTCACTGTGGATTCCTGAATCTCTTGATCTAAGTAATCCTTTGCTTCCTTAAATACTGGAGTACCAAAGCATTTCATATTATTTTCCTTTGATGACTCATTTTCTGCCGAATGATGAATTGACTTTCCAGGTGGCCTCGATGGAAATGTGGCTTCATTTGGTAGCACCTGGAGTATGCATTTTGAATTTAATTTCTCCATTTCCCCTCTTGGCATAACAGAGAGCACCTCTATTTGGTGGGTATTTCTTCCTGATGATTTAATGTCACTGAATTCCTTGCATTTCTGGCTAGTTAAAGACACAGAATTTTTTTGGCTTATTATAGAACTCTTCTCAGAATTATTCTTATTGTTTGGATTAGCTCCTAAGTCCCAAAACTTTCTCAAATTCTCAAACTGAGAATGATTATAAACCTGTTCTGTATTGGGTTCATCCATTCGTTCTTTAAGGGACATAATTTTAAAGTTGGCATTTGATTCACCAATTGGAAATCTGTCTTTCTCCAAAGAAGTGTGTATTTCATTCCCAATATTTGAGGGATGTTGCAATGCTGGTAAAGTAATGTCTCTTCTAGAATGCAAACCGTCTTCCTCTAGCAGACTTTTTATATGCTTGTTTGTCTTATTCTGAAACAGTGACATTTTATTTGATTGGTCAGCTGAAGGATGGTGTTTCAACAGACCTGATATTTGGGGACTGGTCTCTTTAGGCTTATTTGAGGAATGAAAACTGGAGAGATGGGATGCTTGATCATCCTCATCAAAGACTACTCGTTTTGCAGTGAACTGACCATATTCACTCTGGTCTGTAGATAAACTGTCTATGAATATATCCTGTGGTCTCACAGGCTGGTTTGCTTTAGCAGTGGATTGTTCCTGGCTACATGAAGATGTGGGTTCTTCATAAGTTAACTCAGCAGCAGCTTTCTCTCCTTCCCAAAAGGATATTCTGTCACTCACTCTTTTGTATTTCTCTCTTAGCACTTGGTTCTTGGGAACCTCATCAGCTTCTTGCTGTAAGTGAACCTCAGGCTTTTTGGAAGGAGCTCTACTGTTGGCAATCCCAGGTAGCAACTCCCTATTCTCTGTCTCTAAGGAAGCTTTCAGGATAGAAGTATTTCCTTCTTTGCTCCTTCTCTCTGCTTTCACATCATCTTTCAAATTTGGTTCCTGGACAATTGCTGAAGAGTCAAAATCTACTTTGGAGTTTCCTGTATATTTTTCATGAACATGAAGCTTCAGTTCTTCTTTACCTAAACTGCCAATATTCTTAGTGTTACATGAAACTTGGACTTCTGCATTGGAGTCTTTCAGAACACTGTAGGGGCAGTTATTGGTTGGGAGAGGTACCCCATTTCCTTCTTCTGTGCTTTTTGATCTTTGGCTATTGTCCACATTTTTACTCCCTTGACTTGAGGTACCATAACTTGCAAATGGCTGTGGTATAACTGGACCTTCCTTCGGGGTATCTTGTTGGGACAAATTCATAGATTTGGGTCTGATATTTATAGCATTATCTTGGAAATGTTCAGAAACCAACATATCTCCGTCTTCCTGGAATGTTGAATCAAATTTCACAGGCTTCAATTTAACTTTAGTGAATGATAGTGCCTTTAAATCATTTTCTTTTAGACTGGTGTCATCTGTCACCATGGCAATAGCAACCTGCGACTTTGAGTCTGTTTTACCCTTGGGTTCTATTCCTCTGGGATGTTGGAAGGATGACTTACTGTCGTCTGAATTAGAACTTCGGTTAAACCAGTCTAGGACTTTAGTTATGGAATCGTCAGTTGTCTTCTTGATCTCAGTGGCATATGGACCAGAGCGTAAGGATGTCTTAGCTTTCAGAGTCGCAAGAAGAGGGAGCTTACCTTGCTGATGGTCTCTAGAACTGCAATCTGGCACCTGAGATGGTTCAGGTTCAACACAATGAGACAGTTCATCTGCAACATAGAAATGCTTTTCTAAATAAGAAAAAACATGCCAAAGAATGATTGTCAATCACTTATCTTTTTAAAAATGCACTTTTTATTTGCACTTTCTACACTGATAGCAGATGTCAGAGGCTATAAGTCATCCTAATTAAAGTATTCTACCAAAGGTGCCCACTGACAGTAAAGAAAGGCAAAGATAGACCCCTGGAAGTATGTGTGTGGACCTAATTGGGAAATTTCTTTGAAGTCATTGGCTTATTTTAAAAATTCATGTGAATTTTACATTCTGATCCATGTTATACTTTAAATATTAATTTTCTCCTACTCTCAAATCTTTGTATAGAACTGGCAGTCCAGGAAGATACACCATGCTGATTTCATGACTTTACTTATTTCCTGGCACACTGTCATAAGCCCCAGAGGGCTCTTAAATCCAAGTTTAAGGACCTCAGACTTACATAATTTCAGAAGCTAGAAAAACAGCTTTCAAGTAAGTCTAAACAAGAAATTCCCTCCAGAATTTCTGAATAATAAAGTGAGAATATTTCCATTCCTGAGCCTTACTCCTAATACACCAAACAAGAAACTCTGAAAATAGGGCCTGCTGTGTTAATGATTATTTTGCACAGTAGAGTTTAAGAATCCTGATCTCAACAGGCCTCTCCATTCTGCCCCATATTCTAGGTAAGTCAAAAGTTATTCCTGAGTCAAATAATTCAAAGTAAGGATTGACAGAGAATATGATCTCTACCTGCTTCCTGGTTATCAGCTAACCAATTGCTAGAAGGCTAGAGAAGGATATTTATGTTCTTTCTAAGCTATCAGGAAAGCAGAGTCCTTTCCGAGCCTTAATCAAAAGGCACATAGTACATTTGGATGAGGGAACTCAGGCATTTCATTAAGACTCATTAGGCAATTTGTCAAGACTGTAGTCAAGGCTCAGATATTTAAGCACTTCTCCTCTTCCTTAAAACACTAAGCTATGCAATATGTGTGAATATTCCTAAAAATTATGTAAGCTGAAATTTTATGAAGTCAGCTACATTTCAAATGCATTAAAAGACATGTCAGATAATAGAATTCTGTCTTTAATTTTAATCATCAGCCCCTAGCTATATGTAAAAAGGACAGAGAGTTTGTACAATAGTTGGCATATAGTAGATATTGATTTCCTTTCTACGTACCCATCGTATTATTATTTGTCATTATGAAGTCCCTTTGGGAAAATCTTTAAGAATTCTATTTGTTTACAGACTATTTAAGGATGATGAAAAATATTTGTGATATTAGTGAAAAAAGAATTCTCAGTCATACAAACCCAAATTACACCTAAACATTTTTGGGAGGCTCCAATACTAGATGTTAGCAATAGTTAATGCTGGATGATGACATCACAGGTCAGGTGCTTTTTATAATGCTGTGTGCATTTCTTCTGAAATATTTTACAATGAAAGTTATTACTTTAAAAATAAGAAAAGTTCATTTAAAAATCCAGTGCCAGGTAATGTTTTGCTTCCTTTAGGAATTCTTTCGTTTTTTTTCCAGAGTGAAAATGAGTATGATATTGACAGTTTGAACTTCAGAACTAATTTCAAATCTTTATTATTCACACACTTAAGAGTTTACTTTTTTTCTTTTTTCTTGGTCCTAATTTTCTTTTTATATTCCAGTATTCACTAGTATACATCTTTGTAGAAAGCCAAAAGGGAAAAAGGAGGATATTAATGAGTAGCATAACTGTTTATAAGCACTCTTTGAGACCAGAAGGGCTGTCAATCTACCTGGGTTTAGCTGATGACATTCTCCTCCCAAATTTAATGGTCAGTGGGATTTAAAAATCAAAGCATAAATAAGTAAATACAAAAATTTATGATAGTTTATGAGAAAGAAAATGCTATTTCAAAAACATAAAAGGTTTATCAATTTTTTCTATCAGTTATAATAAAGGGAAATATTGCCAAAGGAAATGTTTTCACCCTTTGAACGATTTGTGTAAATATACAATTATTTCATAATGTTTGGTCAAATGTTAGTAATTTTCTTCAATATGAGTTGTCTTATTTCTTGAAGAAGGTCTTGCTACCAAAAAAAAAAAAATTGTGTGTGTAGATGATTTTAAATGTCCAAGAAGGAATGAAACCTGAATGTGTATGAAAATTGCTGGGCTCAGCAAAAGTGAGCCAGGGCTAACCTGATACTAATAAGAAAGAAGGACAGCAACTGAGTTAGAAACTTGAATGTTGGATTATAACTATGCCTGACTACAAAAAAAAAAAAAATTACCACAGAGTTGGGTGCATACTTATTGGATATGAGAGAGATAATACAGCATTATTTTTCCCACTGTTTTCTGTTTTTTAAAAAGTAACAATTATGAAGTAATCATGTAGTTATAAGAAAGTACTTTGGGGTACCCCCTGAGAGGAGTCAGGTCTTCAAGAGAGGGCTGGTTAGCAGGAAAGCCAAGTTGCACCTTCCTTGTCTCTAATTTACACTGCCTAAGGAGAAAGGTCCTTCAGAGCTTTTAAAGTCAAAGAGCAAATGGCTGGAGATCACGGCCGGGTTTTTCACAGTTGGTATTCCCGACAAATTTCCCATCCTTTGAGGTTAAGAAAGTGAAGGTTCTCTTGTGATTATAGGAGAAACCAAACTTCAGTAAAATGATAATAAATTTACATTAGATAATGATATATTTACTCCGTGTAAAAATATTAGCAATTTCTTTAGTTCTCACTCTATATATACATCTAGATTTAACTCAAAACATTGTCATTTGTTTAAATAATTAACGTGGCTAGGCTTTTTTTTTAGGGTTGAATATAATGGACTAGAAACTATGTTGTCCTGGTTCTTTTAGTAATACTGGTGATTGAGGAAAGCCTCCAAATCCATTTAGACTTATACGCATTCCCCAGGGGCCTCTGTCTGAATTCGAGCTGAAATGTGTAGGAGGCAAATTGATCTTTAAAGGGTTAGCTAACTGACCATTCCAACCCTACTGGATCAATTTTTATAAACTGGTTGTGACAACTCTCTTACCAGCAGGATTTGGGGACAATTCTGATTCAAGCCTTGTTAATTCTGACGCTTTAGCTTGGTGCTTATTGGTGGTGGGCAAGTTCTCAATGGTCTGTGGTCTTGCAGTTAGAACTTCCAAGGGTGAATGGGGCCCATTATTTGGAACAGAACCAGAAATCGTTGGCTGATATGCTTCATTTTTTGATCCACTTGGGCTTGAGGCGGACTGATGAGGAAGAAAAGGCTTTCTGTACTGGGAGGGCTTCGGGTCATCCTGAAATTCTGAGTCTCCTGCATCTTCTGTTCCATTCTTTGACCTGTCAGATTCTAAAACACTAAATTCTCCCACTTCCCGGCCATGAATTAGCCCAGGACTCTGAGGAAGTTCATCTTTCACTGCAGAGAATCTCACATGCTTTAATGGCTCCAATGAGTTTGAGAAAGAGTCATCTTCTAAAGAATGCTCCTTCTCAGAAATTCTCTCATGGATGGTTAGGCCAGATGACACGATTTTGCTTTTGGGTTCAAAGTTGTAACTTAAACGAAGAGTTTCCGAGTCTGTACTACTGGAACTGGAGTTACGCTTGAGGATCCCTCTTGGAGCCCCTCTTGCACTCATAGAGTCTGACCTTTGTCTAGGAAAAGACTGTTTATCATCTTGTTTTAAACCATCTGATTTGTAGATAAATTTTCTGGCTTTGGGGACTGGAGCCTTGATTTGGGACCCATTCACAGGCCCAGCTAGCACCGTCTGCTTTGATTTATCTAATTTTTGGCTTGAAATATCAGAGATAGATGACTTTTCTTTTGACTCTGTCAATTCACCTGAAAATAAAAATATATTAGGTAATGTATTAAATGGAGAGCAGCTCTACAATTTAAAATACTCATAAACTTAGTCTATATTTAGCAAAGAATATTAAAATAGTAAAGACAGTAGATAGCCTAAGTGAAGACCTAATATGAAAAGCTTTTAAAAATTCATGCAGCAGAACACAGAGGATTCTTAGGGCAATTAAAGTACTCTGTGATCTGATGGTGGATACATATCATTATACATTTGTCCAAGCCCATAGAGTATACTACACAAACAGTGATCCTCAATGTGTAAACTATCAACTTTGGGTGAAAATAATGCCTCAAAATAGTTTATCAGTTACAAAAAACTACCATTGTGATGGGGAATGTTAATAACAGGAGAGATAGAGTATACATGGGTAATATGTGTACCTTCAGCTCAATACTGTTTTAAAACAACTCCTCTAAAATGCAAAGTCTATTTAAGAACTGATAAAGTTGGGCTGGGGATGTGCCTCAAGCGATAGCACGCTTGCCTGGCATGCGTGCAGCCTGGGTTCGATCCTCAGCACCACATACAAACAAAGATGTTGTGTCTGCCGAGAACTGAAAAATAAATATTAAAAAATTCTCTCTCTTTAAAAAAAAACCAAACTGATGAAGTTCATTGCATTGTAGATAGACCGCATATTTAAATTGCTGTGCTTTACATACTTTGTGGTATTTTATATTTAATATAAAGTTTTTAAAAAAGACTTACAAAGATGTTGTGTCTGCCGAGAACTGAAAAATATTAAAAAATTCTCTCTCTCTCTCTTTAAAAAAAAACAAACTGATGAAGTTCATTGCATTGTAGATAGACTGCATATTTAAATTGCTGTGCTTTAATACTTTGTGGTATTTTATATTTAATATAAAGTTAAAAAAAACTGAAAATTTCTCAAAGGAGCCTTACAGAAAAACATAGAAATCACTTTAAAAATTCTTGTTTTAAAATCAGAAAATGTAACTTGTATTTAAAAATAAAGAAAATCCTGGGGCTGGGGCTCTGTGGTAGAATGCCTGCCTAGCATGTGTGAAGTACTGGGTTTCATCTGAGCACCACATAAAAAAATAAACAAACAAACATATTATGTTCATATACAACTAAAAAAAATCTTTTATTAAAAAAAATCCTGACACCTAAAACAAAAATATTTTGTCAAAAAGTTAAAAAACAAACAAGTAACAAGTTCAAGTGATTTTTTTTCTACAAAATAGTTTATATACTATAAAGTATACCTCATGGAAAAATATACTAATATTAAAACAGGATAATTGACACCCCTAGTTCCACTGTTCATTTGTTAATTTTCTACCCCGACTAATCTTTAATTCCTATATCTGGTTTTGAAGAGATTGAATTATCTGGTATTTCCTTTTAATGGTATATAAGAACAGCAAAATTCTGTAAGAGACAAGCTTCAATCAATTAACTCGAAAACTTGATCAAATGTTCCTGGGCACCTGGGCTAATAATTGCAGATTAAAAGATCTTAACATTGCCAAGTGGCCTTTTATTATTATTATTCTAATTTGTTATATATGACACTGAAAAGCATTTCAATAAGGTAACCTCTTTAAACAGACAACTGTCAGCACATGGTAGGCATCAACAAATACTTTTAGGTTAAAGACTAAATGCTCTTTGTCAAATTTCCCGGTTTACTGATGTGGGAACCCAAGGCTTGGAGGTCACATAAGCAGCAGCAGCTCCACCACCGGAATGCAGAGACTTCCAGTTTCTAAAACTGCTTCCTCTCCCCCAGAGAAGAAACCAATAGGCATAGTGGAATAAGAAAACCATCAGTTCTTTTTACTTTCTCTGGGAAGTTATTTTAGTGAAAGGAACTCTGAGAATTTCCCTTAATTCAGATAGTAAAGATAAAAATATCTTGTCCTTAAAAATAATATTTACCCTCTTTTGAAATCTGAAATAAACCAGCTCTTCCATTTTTTGACTGCTCATTTTGGGTTTGTGGTGATAAGTGATCTTCTGGCAACTTAGGGCTATTAAATGGATTCTTCCTTTGCTGGAAAAAAAATGTTGTTTATTAAACTTAGTTTAAATACCATAGCAGCAACTCAGTGTTAGCAAATGCTTATCATCTCTAATATTTGATAGTTTTATTCAGACAATTTTATTATCTGGCATTTTTTGGGGGGGTGGGGGGAAGCTGATTATCTGGTTAGTGCAGAACTATCATATACAAGACCAAAAATAAAGGATCAGAAATGGGCATTCAAATCAAAATACCACATTTTATAGGTGAGAAAACATGGCCCTGGATATATCAAAGATTAGTCAAGGTTAAAGCAAACCTGGATCTGTAAACAGCTCAGATTCCCACCAGTGCTCTTTCTACCAAAAGGTAGGAAAAACAATGGCGATTAATCTTTCCTAAAGATTTAGAAGATGCTTTAGTTACCTTGAAGTGTTTCACTCATAGTTATGTTCAGTTCTAATGACAGAAAAGGTATTAGTAAATTGATATTTTCATAATTAATATAAAACTGAATAAATATCAGTGTTTACTATCTACAGTTTCACTAATTGGCAATTTCCTCCCAGGATTAAAACTCTAACAGATTCAGGAAGCTATCATTAAAAATAAGGACTGAAGTAGAACTAATAAGTCACATTCCATATGCCTAAAACAAACAGCATCAAATAGCTTCAGACTTTTTATTTGCTGGGACAAAAAATCTGGGTCTTCCGCAAAAAAAAACATAGTATTCATCAATTTATCCACTGCAAGTAATTTCTTACAGTAAACAGTAAAAATTACATATATCTTGTACAAAAAGAAAAGTACTACAAAGTTGTCTTTATTTCATGGTGCTTTGATAGAATTAAAAAAAAAAAGGCATTCCCACCAAAATTGAGGTTTTTGGAGACTGGGCTGAATCTACCTTAGCTGGAGATCCAGTTGATTTCTTTGTGTTCTCCTGGGTCATATCAATTACAGTAGAAGCTGGATTCACCACACTGGGACTGCAAAAAAATTAGTAATTCAGACAACAAATCCTCACCCTTTCAGGAAGCATACATCTTGCCTCTTGAGTCAAAAGCTATTAAGGTAGGATAGGAGAGGAAGTTTGTAAAACCAAACCACCAGGCAGGGAAAGGGACTTGGAACTTAGGCAAAGGTAATGGTGGCACATAAATGAAAGGAAAGTATAAGACAAAAATATCCAGGAAACATGAAACTTTTATCACAGTGTGCAAAAGTTTCACAAGTTAAATCTGTAGAAATGAACTCACTTATCTCAAAATTAGAAGCTAAGAGTTAGTCACAGGCTAGAAAATGAGCAATTGATTTCATTGCTAAAATAAAGCCCCAATATTTGTGGCTCGATTCCATAAGGCAAGGCCAGAATAGCAATGCACCAAAGAAAAGGATCCGATGAGACAAGCCACTCAGAAAAGGGACAGAAAAGAGTAGGTCAGAGAAGCTGTGCAGAAAAGCTGGTGGGTTTGGGCAACTTACTGGGCCCTTTCCACTCACTTATCCAAGCTGGCCAGGTGAGTGCTTATTCAAATACAAAGAAATAGAGAGAAATAGAGCATGGAGAAGATGGTGGGAGAGTTGATGCCTGGAGCTAGTGTGGAGAAATGAGGAGGATTCTCTAGACTAATTCCCATCCCAGAAATAGGGCAGCCCTGAGTGAGAGTAAGGCCAGAGAGAAGGAGGAAGGTGAGTTGAACAGGCTCCTTCCAGAGCACCACTCCCTCCACTCTGAGTAAGAAGGGAAAAAGAGGGTCAAAGAGACCCCTGAGGGGAAGAAAAACAACCTGTTCAGACTGTCTGCTCCAGTGGCTTTGCCTTGGGCATAAGAGATGAAGTCATTATTGGCTGAAATTACTGTTAAACACCACCTGTTCTCTCAGTGACATCAATAGTAAAGAGCTTGGAAAATACCTAAGGAGTTGGCTTTCCCCAGAATTGAAGGCCCAGGAGAGGAGCAATTTGTTGCAAGGCAATGGAAATGTACCCAAGATTACTGTCACTAAATATGTGGGCTATATGTGCCTGCAGCCTCACTTCCTTTCCTTACCTCTAAATCAAGCACGATTTTTATACAGTTAGTTCCAGGAAAGGAAAAGACTGAATTTGTTTGTGCACGTGCACGTGTGTGCATGTATGTGTGTATGTGTTTATGTATGTATGTGTGTTCGTGTGTATACACGACGTTACTGGGAACAGAATCCATAACCTCCCACATGCTAGGCAAGCACTGTATCACTGAATTACATGTCCCCCACTCCGCTCCATCCTTTTTATTTTTTACTTTGAAACAGGTCTTGCTACATTGTTGAATCTGGTCTTAAATTTAGAATTCTCCTGCCTCAGTCTTCAGAGTAAATGGGATTACAGAGTAAATGGGATTACTGGTCTTAAATTTAGAACCCTCCTGCCTTAGCCTTCAGAGTAAATGGGATTACAGTACCACTATCTCTGGGACTAGCTAAGGCTGAACTCTTAAGGAAGACATTCTTCCTTTCATCACCTTTCTAATTGTTTCAGAAAGGAATTATAACAGATGAAATAGACAAATATCAAATACAGCCTGATTGCATGGAGGAAAGTGGGGGAAAGAGATAAGAGGGGAATGGCAGGGAACAGAGGAGGAACTTAACAAAAGAACCAGAATTTGGACAAAAAGACACATTATAGGAGTCCTCTGTTGCTGTAATAGGAAGACACAAACTTGAGCTAAGTTATCTAGCAGGAAATGTGGGAAAAAAAACTGGTCATGGATAGAATTAGTGTTCATACAGTTAAAATAGCCATAACTAAGAACTGAAAAGCAATATCTCTTAAATATCATTTTAAGAAGCGAGTGAGTAATAAAAGGAACAACATCCTTATGGCAAATACTATACTCAGTTTCTCAGTGTTCTGTATGATTTACCTTGGTAAATAGTGATGTAATGAGAGGACCTGAGCCAAGCGCTAGTAGTTAGGGTTTTCATGGAACACACATTGTCCTCCTTTCCCCTTCTTGCTCCCCAAGCCCAGAAGATAAGTAGAACCTCTACATTCTTTTTCCTCTGCTCATTGGAATCTGGTTCCTACACTTTCAGGTCCTAGCCTCAACTGCTCAGACTGTACATCATATTGATCCTCCTTCCTGGAAGTGAATCCAGTCTCTTTCCTACTGAATTCTATCCACCTCTGCATTTCATGTCTACTATGCCTCCTCATTCTGTATGTACATATCTTATCATTTATAGTAAACCGGGAAATCACTCAAGAGAAACTTGACCATCTTTATGTTTTGCACAGTCCCTAGGACATGACTGGTGAAGGCGGCATCAGACATATGGCCAGGGTTTTTTGTTTGTTTGTTTTTAATCTGTGTTTTGTTTTTGTTTTTGCCAACAATGAAGCAGATTATTTAGGTGCTAAACAAAATGTCTTTGTTCATGCTATTTGGTGGGGTAGGGGGAAAGGAAGAAACAAAGCAGTCAGAACACATGGACAGACACCACAATGCCAGAAACACACAGTATTCATGGGGTTACCTTGTGGTTAGGATGGGGGGGGGAATGGGATGGGGGTAGGAAACTTGGTTAGTTACAGGTCACAGTCAGTTTAAATGAAAAAATTAAACCTAGAGTCTTTTGCCTCAGACTCTATCCAAAAACACAGCTACTTCCTAGTAGCTTTGCTTCCCTCAAGGAATACTACAATGTTTTGTTTGCCTGTCCTTTATTAAGCAATGATCATTGCAGTAACCATCTTATTCTCAATTGATTCTTGCAACATTATGTGGCATGTGTCATTCTCCCCACTTGTTAGAAAACTCTGGCTTAAAGAGGTTATATGACCTACTGAAAGTCACAAAATTAGTTTGTGCAAGAGCTGGGGATTTGAGTCCAGGTGTCTGATTCCAGAGGCAAAAATAGCAGTGGTAGGCTTTTCTGTCTCTGATTTCCTGCATTATTAAAGCAGTGGTTTATGGCAAAAAAGACTGAAGTCAAGTGCCAGGGGTGCTTTATTTCAGTGATTCTCACATCTGTTCTTCTTTGTCACCTGTACTGGCAACTCCCTTATTTTTGTCAACTGTATGCACTTCATATGTGGTCTCTGAAAGCTCCACTCCCCTAATCCATTCAGTATACCACCACTACGCTGGAAGGGTCCAAAACACAACCCAGGGTCCTGGCTTCTGCTCACTACCTTACCCTGGATCCCCAAAGCCTGTGAAATACAGTTGGAACTACTCAGCAAGGCACTAGAGAAAAACCATCATCTACCCCCAATATACATTCCCACTCCTCCTCTCTGTTGACCATTCATATTAAAAAAAAAAAGTCCAGTTACATCTTATCCTAGAACCTCACCTGACTGCTATTTCCACTCAATCAGCCCCCCAGCCCCTCCCTCTGCCAAAAACAATCCCTGTCATCTTCAAATCCAGTCTCAGTCTCACTGCCTGGATCATCCCAGCTGATTATGAATCTCCCTTATCCCAGTTATTACAGCATATTTTATTGGTATTTCATATTAGAAATATGTTCCATGCCTGACACTATTTGTTTTATTGTGGTCAGATCTTTATATATGAATGCATCATTTTTCCTAAGAGAATACAGTTTCTTTATAGATAAATACTATGTCTTTCTTAGAATTCCTCCCAGAGGGTGGTAGACTGTGTCTAGAATATAAAAGTCACCCAATACACTCCATATGATAAGATTTTTAAACTGTGAACAAACTTAATTCTATACCCCATGCTCTGTAACTTTCTCCTTTCAGGCATTATTCAAAAAGGGCTTGCAATAAGTAGTACTTAGACAAAATTAGTTTTACTTTGTTAAGAAGATTATTAAAATATTAGATGATGATAATATTTATAGAACCAGAAATCAATTCTGCAAGTTTTTTTTTTCTTCCACATGTTTTTGTCTTGATCTTTCCCTTTGGATGGTAAGTTCCCTGGGAGCTCATGCTGTGTCTCATCCCCAGCACCCAGCACTGTGTTCACACTCAATGAAGCTTGAACGAATAAACAAATCAAGAAATGATGAGTAAGGCTCAGGGATGAGTGAGGGAAGCAAATTAAAAAATATGTTATGATATGCCCTTTCGGTCAGTATTATTTTTTGGTAAAATATTATTTGTGGACACACATAGTCTTCTAGTGCTACCACAGTTCATGCTAAAGAATTATTGAGCACAATTATTCCCATCAGTGTATAAGGCATTTAAAACATTTTTAATTGATGCATTATCATCATACCTAGTAATAGGAATCCTTATGCCATATTTGTACATGTACATAATTTGATCAATCTTTTTTTTCCAGTATCTTTCTTTCAAAACTTCTCCCTCTCCCTGATCCATTTATATATGAGGCATTTTGATTTCTCAGTGAAATTATTTCTACCACAATTTGAGTAAATACAAGATCCGTTAGGATTAAATATTCTCTAAAGAGCTTGATATATGTGACTCTATAGGCCTTACCTCCTAGAAATGCAATCTTCATATTATTATATTTGCTATCAGTACTAAAGAAAACTATCAGATGCATTGTCCTGTAGATTGGCTCAATTTCTACCCTACCACTGAGAGTAGGCTAGGTACCTTATACTGATATTATCACTGAGGGTAAGGCAAGGAGCTTCTCCTGCTGGAAGGGAGAAATGGACATATACAAACAAAAACCTTCCAGGAAGACGCATTAGTGGGGACAACGACATCATTTCAGAGCTAAAGATGTGATTTTAATTGATTGGTTCCCATTCAACAAAGCTTAAGAGAGAGATTGGGCAGAAGCATCACACAAGCACAGACAGTGAAGCTCAGACCAGCATTCTGGTTAAATACACTGACTTACAAAATTTTGTTTTAATTTGACAAAAACAGTGTTAGATGCAGATGCATAGTTTTGCTTATAAGAAAACTCCTCATTTTATCACTATTTCATAGATAAGGGCTCAGAAGTAAACCTATCAACTCCATGGAATGAAAATAGTGAAGT